CCGCCCTGCGCCACTCGGGGATGTGAAGGCCGATCCGATGTCGGTGCGAATCGAGAACGTACCTCCTTTCTCATTCTTGTTGCGGAGCACCCGCATCCTGCCGATGGCGTGCAAAACCGGTTCGTCCAAGCTTCTACCGAATCCCTTTGTAATCTGGGGCCAAAGCACAAAGCGTCAATGGGCGTCGATTCGTGCGCATCTATAAAAAGCTCGTTGATGGCACTCACTCTGAAGCCTTTCGCTTCAGGATGAAAATGCTGGACGTAATATTTGACGGATTCCTCTACAGCACTCCGATGCTGAGCTGACAATCTGGTATTAGAGGTAATTTTGAAGTCCTTGTGCAAGGGCCGATGTCGATCTTGCGGTGTGGAGCTGCCATACGCCCGCTCAGTGGCCACGAGATCGTGTGGATCGGATGATGGGACCGAGCTTTCGCTTGATGCGCGGTGCAGTCTACCCCCTCGATCTCGATACTCGGGCCATTTTTGCAAGAATTCCGAGTCTTTATCGACCCGTATTGGATACGCCGTTCGAACCCCCGGTCTCGCCGTCTTTCCGGAACGTCGGCTTCGAATGCTTGAATGACGCAACATACCCTGGGTGAGGTCATCGGCGATCCGACTCGCTTGCTCATGTGTCATCGCTCTCACTCGTTTCTCGAGCTTCTGCATTTCTCGGCGCGGAACAGTCTGCTGGGTTGCGCTGTCGTCCCTCGAAGTGCGGCGAATGAGTGCGCGTTGACTCGAAAGGGCTGCCAGAGGCGATGGCTCATCGCCCTTGTGAGATTTTGTCGCTGATGTGCGACGTAGCTCCTGAGCAGCGGCACGAAGGAAGCGTGAAGATGGTCAGAACAGAAAGACAGCGACTCCATCATCCGTCCCTGACAACTCACGCGCACTTGCGCGGTCGATTCGGCAAAGGTTGCGAAGTCCCGTCTCGCAAAGCCCCCATGAAAGCCCGAACGCTGTCCAGCTAGCAGCCCAGACCTAGCGTCATGCAAATGTCGACGCACCAACTTTGTACTCCGAGCAACATCTGCTCCATCTAGTAATGTGGCGACCTCCGCGTTCGTCTTGTCCCTCGAGATGACGCTACGCTCAAGCAAGCGAGCGTTGCAGTGATATGTGACCGCGAGCGGTGCGAAGATTGAGACTATAATCGTGATCGAGACCATTTTGCGGTTTGTGGAGACCCTGACCTATGCGGGCCTGTGACGTGTCTTGAAGAGCTGGAGTTGGTTGCCTTGGCTCGCAACGACGAGGATGGAGGATGGAGCGTAAAGTAGAGATCAAATGTCAGGGCTTGCACCCGTAGAAGCTACTTGGGACCTCTCGAAGCGGGATCCGAGCCTTGTAGGAGATCGACGATAGACTTGGCGGACTGGGACAGCAGTGAGCAGACCTTCTCGCAAAGCCTTCGAATGCCTTTGGCATTTTGGGTCTACAGCATCCTCGATGTGGGTGAGGGGTTATTCTGCACGCCACTCGTCTCTCAAAGTGGCCAATCCTCCCCAAGAAGGTACCATTGAGGGGTCGAGTGAGCTCGATGTGGTCTCCGCCGGATCGCTGCAGTCAATATCTCAAGCTTTGTGGCCTCGCTCTTGTTGTGGCGGAAAGGGTATCGTGCGCTGCCACAAACGATTCCTAAGGTCCATTTGCGTTGTGGCGAACGTGAGGGCGTACAAGGGCGACGTAGGGGAACGGACCGCCGTGGTGGCGGATGGGCCACCTTCGCAACCGACGAAAATTCAAAGCGGATACAATTTCAAGGACGAAAGTAGTTCCGATCGCGGCATCACGACCATCCTCTCACATTCGCTAGATGAAAGATACCGCAATGCTGAAAGAACTCTCAAATCGCTCCCCTCATTGCTGTCAGTCAGCGATATGGCGGGGATCGCAAGGGAGTGGGATCGATGCGCTGTGATCCGAACGTGTGAAGCGCTGCGTTCGTGATTCACGATCACGCTGAAAGGCGAGCGCGTTTCTCGCGCGCAGTCACGCGTCCTCCGAGAAGGACAAGAAGTGGCGGTGCCCGTTGGCGATGGCGTCCACACCTCTAGATGACCCCTTTACGCTGATGAAATCCACTTGCCAGGATACTGGCCAGTAATCGAGGCCACATCTCGTGCCTCGAATATCCCACTTCGCCTGCCACCTATTATGGCCCTCAGCGCCAAGTGAACACGTTGACGTATCGATGGCAGCGATTGTGCGAGTAGTTTTCTCTCACCTGACCCACTTATGGGTGCTGCCTGCGGACACCGTCGATGGTGAATTGGTAGGAATGCACGTCAGCATGGCGCTGTCTGCCTCGCAAAGATCCGTCAACGGAGTCATGGGCGACGCTCGGTACTCCAACACGATGAGGAAAGGTCAACACACAATCTGCACGACGCTCGTGCAGGCAGCTTGGAGCAGCAGAACCAAAGATCGATGCGGAATGTGATGCTTTTTTGGGCAGTGTCGCCGAGCTGAGAGCGTTGTACATGGGTTGTGAAGAGTGAAGCCTGGCTTAGCGTCTAAAAAGCTTGCGCATAGGGCAGATCAGTGCCGAATGATGGTCTTTGCGCTTCGCCAAGCGGCATGACGTGCCGGCTTCGGCTCGGCGAAGAGTTGCAGGGCATGTCGATTCGTCCGTCCGATGTTTGGTCTAGGACCGCCTAAGCCTCGGTGATCTCACGCAGACGACGGATGGTGCTGGAAGGGGGGCAAAAGACGAGCAGGTTCAGCGGGGCGGTCCCTCAAGCCTTGCCTGAGCTCTCGCGACGGCAGCGGCTCTACAGCTAGAACAGCATTTGCCTAAAGCGTGCCGGGATCGCACTTGGTCTATCCCCATTTTTTCGATCTCATATTTCCTTGGCAGCGAGTGTCCTACTCCCTTCACATGACTGACCGACCAGACCACCCCTGGACAGACCATGCGCATCCTGTCGCCATCTTCAACCCCATCAGTGCAAGTACTTACCTGCGGACAGTTGCAGCAGCAGTGGTAGACAAAGTCCAAGCTCCACCAGCAATTGTCTTTCTGCAGCTCTTGCATTCCCAAATACCGACAGACTTGCGCTTCACGCTGTCCTTTCCGCAAAAGGTGCATGTGTACCTAGAGTGCTGAGAAATTTCGATCTTCTTGATTCCCTTACGGAGACTATAAGACGGAAAAGAGAGCAGAGCGAGTTGGTGAGCTTGTGCAAGATTTTCTGGCGCCACGGGCTCCCCTTTCTGAGGGCACTGGGTTTGAACAGCCACGAGGCCACACCTTTCGACACTCACGAGGCACCGTAACGAGTACCGTACTTGCCGGTGATTCCGACCTCTGCAAAGGGAAAGGGATTCGCGCTCCGTATGTTAGCCTAAAATGTTCCACCATTCATGGAGAAGCGATTCCAGGGCAGGCCTTTAGCCATCTTAGCAATGTCCCGCTGTCTGTCCGCCCTATCACTTCGCTATGTTCGCTGGTGGTCCCTTCTGCGTTTCCCAGCGCTCGCCGTGCGCGTGGGGCGTGGCCCGTCCAACGCCGTCAAGGCTACTGCGCATTCATCCTCTGCTCCTTCCTCCCGTCACATCGTGACCACACCTCGATACCCACTCTTTGTGCGAGCAGCCATCTTGAAGAATGAAGAGAGTTGCGTGTATGCGTGATTGTTGATCTGGGAAGATGTGAGGTAGTTGGAGGTGCGGGCTGGCTCGCTGCGCTCACCCCTTGTTGATTCGCAATCTAGAATCTCAAGCCTTCGCGCTGTTGTAGGTATTTTGCCACGTGGCGAGTCCTCTGGTGCTTGCCTGGGGACGTCGTGGATGCGCGCGGGGAGCACCGCAGCTGCATGACAGCGGCGATGCGCGGCCGATCACGAGCGACGAGGCAAGTAGACTTTGCGCACACGTGATATTCACACTCTCGCGCGCTCAACGCGTCCACGGCGTGATAGCTGCTGCCGACGCGTTGAAGCCATCGAACGCGGAGCATCCAACCACGATGTGATCATCACTCCGCCAGGTATGCGGGCCAGCCAGCTTTGAAGCAACACATTCACGATTCACGATTTCGATGCTTCTTCACTCATCGCTTCCAAAGTCTTGATTTCTGCGGACCCCTCTCTGGATAACCTCACTCTAGGTCTCACGTACAGTTGGCAGACCAGGTACACACCTGTGGATGGCACGTCATGGCAGCAAGACCAACTACCCCGCTCAGGCGGGTATCACGCGGCTCGATCTCAGCCTCTGCATCGCTACGTCGCTCTCAAGGACCTGGCGGTGCGTCTGGATATGGAGCAGCTGATGATACGCCCCTCGCGTTTCTGGACTCTGCAATGTCCGACTTGGCGGATGAGACGGCAGTGTTGCAGTCCAATTTGGAAGCCGTTAGCGGTATCCACGAAGCGCTGCGGACCTTTGATGAGAACTTTGCAATGTTTCTCTACGGCCTCAAGATGAACGCGTTCTGCGTGGAGTGGCCAGAGGTGAATGATGGAAGGTGACCACGGCAGTGTTCTGATTTGCTGGTTTTACTGACTGCTTGTTCTTCGTCTCCCTTCAGGCGCCCGCGGAGGAGAACTTCGAAAGAGCTGGAGAGCGCGGAGGTGAGCGATGCCGTCATGTTCTGGTGACTGCTTCATGGGCATGTCATGCTCATCCCTCTCTGCCTCCGTGTGCCGGCAGATCGATTGCAGGAGCAGCAGCTCGCGCGCGCCCAGATCTCGTCTGGGGACTACTCCTCCGGAGATGTGCGAGGACGCGCCAGCGGAGGTGGAGGTGCCTCCAGTTTCAATGCGGGAGATCAGACCTACATGACTACCGATGAGAACGACTCTTTCGGGCCTCCAACTCCCAAAGCTGCTCCTGCTGTTCAAAAAGCGGCCACACTAAAACCTGCGCTCAAGAAGACCGTGCCCGCCAGCGGGGCTGCCGCTGGGAAGCCTGGCGCAAAAGCCAAAATCACACCTGCGTTGCGTAAGAAGCGAGAGGTGAGCAAGACAAAGTAACGCGAGCTTCATCATAGACTCAGTCGCTCATGACTGTACGGCGCCATCTAGAGCATTGCTGCTACGATCATCGAGACTCTGCCGTTGGAATACCGCGGCGCGGATCCAGTGAGTGCCAACGCGTCTTCGGTTCGGAGCATTGGATCTCTGAGCTGACTTGTTCTCCGCGAGCAGAAACCTCGCGCTCTCGCCGAAAATGTCATCCTCGCACTGATGGCTGCAGGCCCAAAGGGAGCCAGAAGTGAGCGCAGATACGGCTGAAAGTCCCCTTTCATTGCAGGCGCTGACCTTGCCCGATCTGCACCGAAACCTCTGACAGTCAATGAAATCGCAACAACGGACATGCCTTCAGCGCGCGTGAACAAGACATTGATCGCCCTGATCGCCGCGAAACACGTCGTGAAGTCATCTAATAATGTGAGTGTGAACAGTGGGCAGCTAGGCGTGCCAGCCGCACGGGCTTTTCCTACTGGCACTGACGACAAAGGCAACGTCTCTTCGGACCCTGCGCCTTTTCTTCTTCCAGGGAGTTGTCTATCACCTCGACCCTGCTAGGCATCCAGATCTGCCCTGAGCAGCGGAGACGCTTGCTGCCTTCCTCTACTTTTGTTGTATTCTATCCACGCCTGTCCGAATAGCGAGTCCATGCGATTGTTCAATGCTCGTGCGACCGACCAAAGGCGGGCATTCGAGCGATGCGTGCTGCGCGGCTTGTCACAATCAACAGGTCGACACGCATGTGAATTTCATCGCATTGATGTGGGGACTCAAAGGATATAAGTGCGCCTACTAGACACAAGAGGAGACACGCTGAAAGTCGAATCCACGCCAGTGGACTAGTCGAATCCACGCCAGTGGACTTCTTAGCGACACCGAAGAGAGCCCATTCAACAGCTCGCTCGGACCCTACCGATACAAGCTATCACACGTTCGCCTCACAAGCAAAGCACGCAACCCTGCCAAGTCGAGGCTTGCTGCGCTCTGTGGTCAAGGGCTTTGAACCTCACACTTGACGTGCAAGGTGCGTGACCAAGCGATCTTTCGATCAACTTGGGGTGCATTTTGGGATGGTCGTGAGGTTGTGGAATACATGTGTGATTGCATAGAAGAACTGAATGAGCTATGACCGGACGAGTGCCTTAGAGCAAACCAACGCGACTGGCCATGTCGAGAGCGTCCTGGTCTGCGGTCAAACGGATGAACGCCTTCTTCTTTCCATCCGGACGGATCAAGGTGTTAACCTTTTGCGCGTCGCAGTCGTACAGCTTTTTGACGGCTGCCTTGATCTATTCCGTTGCGGGCGAGGAGGCCAGTCAGCACGATGTTCATTCAATTCGCTGAGCGCACACCACCACACTCTTGCGAACCAGCAGGATGCAGATCCAGCAACTGCCTTAGTCTCTTCGACTCCTTCCAATCACCTGCTACTGGCCGTTCGCTATTCTTCCCGGCATCTTCAGTCAAGTTTTTGTTTTGTGACTCACCTGGCGCTTGTTTGCGCGACGGTCGCAGATGACAACGAGAGTGTTCTCCTCCTCGATCTTCTTCATAGCACTCTCAGTGTTCAGAGGGAAGAGCACAGTGGTGTGCGCATCCATGCGAGGGAGGTGAGGAACGCTCTTCCTCAAGTACTTGGGCTTACGAGCCAAGCGGAGGGTCTTAGGTCGGTGGAAGGTGACGGAGGTCCTGACCTTGCGGATCTTGTTGCCAGAGACACCGTGCAGAGCGGCCTTCTTGGCTGCAGCGGCCTTGAGTGCGGCTGGCTTTGCCTTTGCCTTGCCGACGGCTAATGAGAATGAAGAATGAGCTTGGTCAGCTGTCAAGTCGCTAGTTGTCTTGTCTGTGCCCATGCGCATCCCCGCAGTCCACCTCATCCGGCCTGTCAACTTCGCTGCGTTTTCCCGGCCCAGCCAAACCCGTCGCCGGGCTGGTCTCCCTCCTTCGCTTGACAGACGACAGCGACGTCTAGCGCGGAGCAGCGTACTACAAACTTGACCCTCGAACATTAGCTGCCATTGATGATTCAAGCTCTCCCACTGTATGACACCTCATGCCCTCCCATCGCGATTCGCACTTTCTGCGCTTCGCACTCGCAGCACGCATTGACCAATGATGCCGCATCCACAGGCTACCGCTACTCACCAGTGCCGCCGGTGGCTCCCTTGTTGCCTGAGGACATCTTGAAGTTGATATGTTTGATATGTGAGTGTGGGTGCTTGAGGTGACGGTAGACAATCTGAAGAGCTGGGAGCATCTTGGGCTACCGCGAAGCGATTGGGTGGCCATGCGCTAATCTACGACTTCTGAAAATGCGCTGCGCCTGCACCCACGTGGCTTGCCCCAGAGAAACGCAAGAACGCAGACGCGCGCACTGCAGTGTGCACGCCACGTGGCTGATACAGAAAAGCCTACGTCTGCAGGACCGCTTCTTGGATTTGATCAAGAAGCGCTGAATTGCAGTTGGTCCAACTCCTCAACCACATTACACACCAGTTTCGAGCGATTATTTAGAGTGAGCAAACGATCAAATCATGCTCTGAGCATTATACACACGAGCTGACCTTCTTGCTTAAACATCGCTCCCAATAGCGCCCAAGATGTCGAAGATCGCGGTTTCCCAAGTGCGCACGCAGCTCAATGACCTGCTCAAGGGGTCTCAAGAGAAGAAGAGGAACTTCTATGAGACCGTCGAGCTCCAGAGTGAGTGGACGAACGGTGTGGAGTCGGCACGGGTAGAGCCGGAGGGAAGGCACGAGAGAGTGCTGCTGTGTCGTAGCGAAGCGTCAGGGATCATTCAGATGAGCTGGCAAAGTGTAAAGGGAAGGGTCATAATTCTGGCAAACGCTTCGCACATGTGGTGCTTGAGATGATGCCAGGCGCTCACAAGGCAATTTGCGATTTTTCATTGGCAGTCGGACTGAAGAACTACGACCCTCAACGTGACAAGCGTTTCAGTGGCACAATTAAGCTGCCTCACTGTGAGTTCATGCCGTACGCGTCCATCCCGCATGGTAGCCCCCGCCTGAACGGCTTCTGCTCCCTTTAGTGCCTCGCCCTCGTATGTCGATGGTCATCCTGGCTGATGCTGCCGATGTCGATCGCGCCAAGCTCATCGAGCTCGACTTCATGACGGTCGAGGACTTGAAGAAGCTCAACAAAAACAAGAAGCTCGTTAAGAAGGTGAGAACCGCTAATTTGCCGAAAAGTTCAAGGGGCACGATGGCAGAAGTTCTGTTGCTGCAGGTCAGTCGAGCGCGAGCTGAATGAGACACCTTTCCGCCCGTTACGCAGCTCGCCAAGAAGTACAACGCTTTCCTGGCTTCCGAGGCGCTTATCAAGCAGATTCCTCGTCTGTTGGGTCCAGGGCTGTCCAAGGCCGGAAAGTTCCCTACTCCTGTTTCTCACGGTGACGATCTTGAGAAGAAGGTGATCGAGGTCAAGTCGACGATCAAGTTCCAGCTCAAGAAGGTTCTCTGCTTGGGCGTTGCCATTGGCCACATCCAGATGAGCGAGGACCAACTGTTGGCCAACGTCATGCTTGCCATCAACTTCTTGATCTCCCTGCTCAAGAAGCAGTGGCAGAACGTCAAGAGCTTGCACGTCAAGACCACCATGGGTAAGCCCATCCGCCTCTACTAAGCGGAGTCTCCTTCGCACTTCATCCCAAAACCCTTGTTTCGGTCACAACATAGCGTGCGCACGCCTCACCCAGCGACGGACTGTGCTCGTGACGAGCGGCACTTTTACGTCGTGCGGGTAGCTCGAAACAACTCCCTTTACGCCCAAACGCACGTCAACCCATTGTACTGGTATGCCGAATTCCATGCTACGGTAGTGCTCAAATCTGTCTGCTTGTTTAGCGTGATGGCGCCCCCTCATTGGAAGCGTCAGGCCGGAAGCGCAGACATCTCTCCGGTCATGGATGACATTGTCGGAACTTGACACCTGCATTGCGAAAAATTTCTCGGCTCCTGTCGTCCATGCTGTACGCCAGCTCGTACACCACCTCCTTGACGCCTACCTGAACGATCTTGACAGCGCATCGCAGGCATGGACAGCTGAGGTTCGCAAGCGATGACAAGTCTCGCGTCAGTGTGAAGGAGCAGGAGATGGCGGAGCAGAGGCTGCGCAAGATGATGACTCACGTATTGCAGTACAACACAGTCCCTTCCGCTCCTCCTCTTTCCCTTCCACATTCCAGAAGCGCATTCTCTTCGGCGTGCAGGCACAGACATTCGTCCAGCCTTGTACCACCTTGAGCCCCGCCATTGCACCTTGGACAGCCACCTTGGTTGCAATTGAGCAGGCCGATAGCTGTACCGTTGTAGCCCGTGCTCAACACTCTGTTTGAGCGCACCAAGACTGCCCCAACCCTGCGCTTCATACAATTGCTACGCAGAGAAGCGAGCGTGCAGAGCGAAAGAAAGTAGCTGTCCCAAGGTGGACGTAGACGGGCTGCATTGACCAAGTCGAGGTCGTCCAGATGAGCGTAGAGAGATGCGAGATTTGCTCTGCTGTTTTGCACTCTGACTTGAGCGGTGTTCATCAGCGACCACAAAGAGTGCTCTGCGCCGCTCATCGCTGCTGCACCGCTCGCGCCGTTCACTAGCCTCGCGACGGACTGGCTTGGTAGCGCTTCTTGAGCCACCAGCGAGACGCCGTCATTGGAGATCGTGCTCGTGCTCTTGCTCAACGCGATGGGCGCGTGGCCCTTCGGCTCACGAGCCTGGCGACTGATACCGTGCATCTCTTCATGATCTTCCGCGGCGAATTTGCTCCAATCGAAAGCATCCTGTCCACTCCAGCATCTGCTAGAGAGCGTGCCGACTGCCTCGGTCTCAGACACGGGAACATGCTGGAGTGAATCTTTGTTTCGAGTAGGAAGGCGACTCACCTGGCCCTTTCAGCTCTTGCGAAAAGAGAAGCATCGATGGCTACGAGCAGAAAGAAGGGTCTCTTGTCAAAGCCGAGCGAGATATCCTCCATACACCTGAGATCCTTCGTGACAAAATTTTGCCTCCAGTGGGAAGTGACGTGCGTCAACAGGTCGGCATGTGATCTGAAGCTGAGAGAGCCCACCGCTTCGTCGACGTCCAGATTGGAAGCTGCTTCAGCGAGTGATTGAGATGATGAGGGTGATTCCAATGGCGAGGGTCTGCAGCATGCATCGGTCACAGTGACGGGAGTGAAAGCGTGACGTTGAATGAGGTATCGCGCGACAGTAGTCTTTCCCGAAAATGTCGGGCCGATAAGCGCGATGAGCATCTCGTTCAGGGTGTCAGTCTCAGAGATGGACGCGATAGCTTCGAAAGAGAGAGGTCGTGCAACAGAAGAGCAGAACGGATGATGAGTGGCAGGTCCGTTGGGTGCGGTTGATGGAGCTCTGAAGGAATCCCGCTTGCGCAACCAACGGAACAGACACGAATCGGTGGGTGTGTATCATCGGAATTCGTGATCGCGCGCGGGTGTGTCATGTCAAACGCGCGAAACGACTGACGCGGCTCGTGTTGCTCTTAACGCGTGCCGATAATTTACGCGTTGCGTTCTAGCCACGAGCTCTGCATGGCTGAGATCACAGCATTTCCATCAACTCCCGCAGATATGCAAGTACGTCCATGTATCAAATCGATTCTTGGACCTTCGCAGACTATCGTCAGGCTGCCGTATAAGTCACTCTGTTGTTCACGACCAGCCTCACTGAAATGCAGACACACAAGCTTGCTTAGCATTGCATCGAGTGGCTTTACATGTGGCCGTGAGGGTCCTCGGGCTGTTCGGGAGGTGGAATACGGAAGGAATCATCGATTCTCAACAACGATGTAGCAGCTTCTACAGCAGACTTGAGGGATCTGACTTTTGAGATTGTCGGCTCGAGCACCCCCGCTCTGACGTTGTCTCGAACTTGTCCGTTCAGCAAGTCCAAACCGTAGAGTCTGAGAGCCTTCTTTGGATCTCCTGCGTTTGCGTTCTGCGCAGCATTGTGGTACGCGCGCAGCTTGGCTACCAAATCAGTGCTGTCCTTTCCGGCATTCACAGCCAGCGTCTTCGGAATGACCAGAAGCGCTTGCGCGAACTCGGCGATAGCCAGCTGTTCTCTTGATCCCAGAGTAGTAGCAAAGTTCTCCAGATAGATGCTGAGAGCGCTTTCGACAGCGCCACCACCCGGAACGACTGACCCAGACTCAAGAGTGCGCTTGACGACCGAGAGCGTGTCGTGCAATGACCTCTCCATTTCATCCAAAAGATAGTCGTTGCCTCCTCGTAGAATGATCGAAGAGCTGCTGACGGTCTTGGTGCCCCGGACCAAGATCAGTTCATCGTCCGAGATGCGCTCTTGTGCCACCTCTTCTGCATGTCCCAAGCTCGAAGCCTCGAACGTCTCCTCTCCCTCCAAATTAGCCAAGCTTGAGACCAATTGACCTCCAGTTGCCTTGGCGATCCGGCGCAGATCCTCCTTCCTGCATCTCCTCACTGCCATAGCACCAGCTTCCACGAATTCCTTCAGACAAAGATCATCGATGCCCTTCGTCGTCAAGATGACGTTTGCACCCGCTGCCAGAATCTTGCGCACGCGCTCCAACACAATCTCGCTCTCCCTCGCCCTGATTTTCTCCAACTGGTCTGGGTCATCGATGGTAATGTGAACGCCCATGTGCATGCGCTGCTTGTGCAAGTTGATGTCCAGGCAAGCGATGCGAGCGTTTTTGATGCGCGTTTTCATTGCTTGAGAGGCTACCGTGCAGTTGAGAGCGTAGCCGTTAACGAAGAGTGACTCGCGCGCGGATTTGCCATGTGCTTTGAGCACATTGACCGCCTTCACAGGGTACTTGACCTCTCCGCGAGGGTTGATGGTCTTGACGGCAAGCATGGCGTCCACTGCGAGCTGCGCAAAGAAGTCGTCATCGCTGCACGGCAAGGTGTGGGAACAGACTTTCAGCATTATTAAGATGAAGCGCAGAGATGCTGGACCGCTCTCACCTGCCAATGACCTTGCTAGCCATACTTGTCTTAGCCACATTGACCAGAGACTCTTTGCCAAGCTGCTCCACCTTCAAGCTCAACTGATCCTGCAAATACTTGGTCGCCTCGCGACTCGCCAATCTGTACCCAGTGATGATGGTGGTGGGATGAATGCGATTCTTGACCAGCTCGTTCGCCCGCCTGAGGAGTTCTGCAGCGATGATGACTACCGAGGTTGTGCCGTCGCCAACTTCCTTGTCCTGCTGAGTCGCCAACTCGACGAGGATCCGTCCCGCGGGCTGTTCCACCTCGAGCAGCGAGAGGATCGTGGCACCATCGTTGCTGATGGTCACATCACCAATGTCGTCGACCAGCATTCTGTACACAGCAAGGTGATGATGAGCCAGATGCCCCGAGAACCTGACCCGTGCGCAGCGCCCGCTGTTTTCTACTCACTTGTCCAATCCGACAGGACCCAGGCTGCTCTTGACGATGTTTGCGATGCTTTGTGCAGCCAAGACGTTCTCGTTTCTAATCTCTGCTCCTGACATGCGCTCTCCTCCGATGAAGAGACCCGCATTTCGGGGGTCCTTGGCAAACAATTGAGCCATCGTTGCTGATGGGGTGTCCAGTTGCGAAAGTGCGCGCCGTCGGAAAAGCTGCTTTAAAAGAGACGAATGGTGTAACCGCTACACGGCTGCGACTATCAGGAACGGCCTATTGGATGCACTCTTGAGTGCCAGAGACTGAGATTGATCTGTGATGTGAGTACTCTCAACTCGCTACTGGTCTTGTGTGAACTCTTGAGTGGCCCCAATGTGAATCGTGAATCTTCGCGCGCTCATACGCGTCTCTCGAATTCGTCGGTGGTGTTCGTTTGCATGAACGCGGTTCGGGCGTCGGCAGTGGGACGCATAGCTATGCCCACTTTATTATTATTGCTCACTCAAACTTCATGCGTCTGGTCACGCGCCGCGGCTGCCACTGGGTCGGCCAGCTTAAGAGTGAAGGCTCGATTGATGCCACGTGGTAAGGGCTGCATGCGCGAGCTGCAGAGAGAGCGTCGGCTGGAAGACTGCGTGGCGGCACCGCCAAGGCCGCAGCGCCCTGCCCTGGCTCGATTTTGAGTGACGCTCCATTTCAACTCACTCCTTCGACCTTCACCAACACCTCAAGACAAAGCCCTCCTCCACACGTCGTCAGATTACAGCGTGAGTACCTCTCAAGCCCAAAGCTGCTCTCAATATCGGCAATTATCTCGCTTCCGCGGCTGCGAGCAGAAGGATGGGGACCTCAGTAAGCTCGTCGATTGCGAGCAGGCCTCGATCCTTCCGAGCCAAAGCTGGACCAATCAAATGGCGCCCTCGAAAAGCATGTCGAGGGGCTCAAAGTTCTCGCAAGGAAGGGAACAGCGGTGCAGTGGGGCCACAATTTGCCAATTCGCATCTCGGTCGGACAGCCGCCGCGATGGGGTGAAGCCTCGGCCTTTGGAGCACGCTGCAGCTCGCATCAATTGGGAAAGTGCGGAGGATTGGAAGCGCAGTGGAGAGAAGGGGATGAGATTGAAGACGCTCGAAGGGCTAAGGACAAGCAGTGGCGAGCGCACAAGATCAGTAGTCATCGAGAGATGGAGATACTTGCAGTCCGCTAGGCGAAGTACAGAGCGCCTGAAGGTCTGGCGACTACGCAACGGGTTGTGGATGATGATGTGGCGCTGGTTAGAGAGCGTCAGAAGCTGACCTGCTGTCAATCACTTGTACAGAAGATGGCACGATTCACCGAGTACCTGGTCATTGGCCGCCACCTCCCCACGGAGCGCGAGCCTACCCCCAACCTCTACCGCATGCGCATCTTCGCGCCTAACCCCACTGTCGCCAAGTCCCGCTTCTGGTACTTCGTGCGTCAATTGAGGAAGATGAAGAGGGCCACTGGTGAGATTGTTGCATGCCACGAGGTGAGTGATGGCTGATAAATCGCAATGCTAGGGGCCGTCAGGAGCTCACCATGGATGTTTGACGCTCGTCTCGCAGATCCACGAGGCCAAGCCTCTCAAGGTCAAGAACTTTGGCATCTGGCTGCGTTACAACTCCCGATCCGGCACTCACAACATGTACAAGGAGTACCGCGAATTGTCTCGTGCCGAAGCTGTTGAGCATATGTACCAAGACATGGCCGCTCGTCACCGTGCTCGTTTTGCATCCATCCACGTGAGTAGGGAATGACGATGCAGGGAGGCATTCGAGCAGTACCTAGGTCAGGTTTCGCATCAGCGACGTCGTTCGATCATTGGCAGCGCTTCGCAAGAAAGGCTCGTTTGGACCGCTCAGGCTTGCCATTGTGGTCCAACTCCGAAGCTCACCTTCCCGCTCGTCCCGGTCGTCAGATTCTCAAGGTGTCCGAGGTGGAGAAGACGTCCGACATCCGCCGATCATACATCAAGCAGTTGGTGAGTCTGCGTCTGCAGCTTTCATGGTGTAGCCTACTAGGTCTGACCTCCTTTCGTGCATCTGCACGCACAGATTACTCCCAACTTGCGCTTCCCTCTGCCTCACCGCCGCCCCGTCGCTCGCAGCGTCTTCGCCGGCCAGCGACCCAGCACTTGGGCCTGAGCGGATCTTCACGCCTGCAGCACTTGCATTTGCTGGTTCTAGATCACGCTTTGGTTCAAATTCACAGGCGCATTCATCGACGTTCGTCACGTCGGTTGTACCCCACACGATTTCGCGGGTTTTTGGAGTGCAAGCGCACGTTCTTTGCCAACGTCGACTTTGCCTCGAACGCTCGCGTACATGGCGCACACTGCGCACACTCCATTGCTGTAACGCTTACGCATCATATGCACACACAAAAGATCAACTTCTCTTCCCCGACCTCGAAAGCGTGACGACCATATTGACAGGGATGCCTTACAAGTCGAACCTTAGGTCCTCTACATTCACCTGAATTATCCATTGGGCTGCCCTATCCGCATTGCAGGTCAGGTGTTATAGGAAAGGCTGGTGTTTGGTCTTTGTGTGCATCTAGACCAAGGACCGCGAGGCGATGGCACAGGTTTGAGTGTCTTGGCAGGTCGTGGAACCTTGCCCGCCGGTGTGCTTCCATGCGCAGTATTGTAAATGCGTCTGACTCTGCGAGCAAGCAGAAGGTGCGTGGACGAGCTGCGTCAGCTGCAGGCGTGGGCCAGCCCGCTGAATGGAGCAGATTTGCTCATGCTGTGTGCCAATCGAAACCTAAATCAAGAAGTAAGAGACCCGACTAGACTCGTAAATGGAGACAGTCGAGTGGCGAGTCCTTGTCTGCTTTGCGGTTGGGCTGGGACACCGCGCATGGATGGAGCGCGCAAAGCAAGGCTGCTGCGTGCCGCACATTTGCAGCCCGCGCCTGTCTCGTGCGAGTGTCGTGGTCCTATCTTCCCGAATCAAAAAAGTTCAACAAGTCATGTGTGTCCCGAGTGATGCCGTGCATACAGCGGGGATCTTACGCCTCCTCATCCCAAGTCACAGCGTCACATAGTCCAGCCATCATTCACCCTGCACCTGGGCCACATCTTGGGATTCACTTTGGTTCGTATTTCACCGATCCTCATCAGTGCTGGCTATATCCCTTGTTGCCGTCTGGACGCCGGCAAACACGACCTTAGAGCAGAAACATAGCTTCCTCGCGCTCCTTCCAAGACAAGCGTCGAAAGCTGGTGCATCGTGCAACCTCAGCACCGAAATGAGCTCCGCTGATTCAGCTTCCGGCAGTGAGAGCGATGGCAGCTCTTCTTCCGCGAGTTCCAGCTCTGGCTCATCGCTTCGGCAGTCGACTCGGGCTCACCGATCCAAGGCGTCCGCACAGCATCTAGACGACGATGTAAGCGACAAGGAGGAGGAAGACTCTGCATCAGAGCAAGAGGGTCAATCTGGCGATGAAGTGAATGCCACCTCTTCTGATCCATCGATCAAGCAGGTTGAAGAGCAGACCAAATCATTCGCTGAGCTAGGCGTGCATCCGTCGATATGCGAGGCCTGCGAAAGCATGGGGTTCAAAAAGCCCACCCCTATCCAAGCCCAAGCCATACCTGAAGCGCTGGGAGGCCGCGATATCATAGGACTAGCAGAGACAGGATCGGGCAAGACTGCCGCCTTTTCTATACCCCTGTTGAATGCGCTTTGGGACTCGCCAGCTCCCTTTTACGGGCTCATTCTAGCCCCAACCAGAGAGCTGTGCTATCAGATATCTCAGCAGGTGGAAGGTCTTGGAAGCGTGATCGGCGTGAGATGCGCTACGATCGTGGGTGGCATGGACATGATGGCTCAGAGCATCGCGCTCGGCAAGAGACCACACGTCATCGTCGCGACACCCGGTCGTTTGATGGATCATTTGGAGAATACAAAAGGATTCAGCCTCAGAGCGCTCAAATTCATGGTGAGTCTCAGACTTCATGTCGCACGTATCTGATCCCGCTGACATCTGCTCTACAAATTGCGCACGTAGATCATGGACGAGGCGGATCGATTGCTAGATATGGACTTTGGTCCCATCATCGACAAGCTGCTCCTCGCCATCCCTAGAGATAGGACTACGATGCTGTTCAGCGCCACAATGACCACTCGCGTGGCCAAGCTTCAGCGGGCCAGTTTGCGCAATCCTATTCGAGTGGAAGTGGGCAGCAAGTATCAAACCGTGTCAACCTTATCGCAGCACTACCTTTTCATGCCTTTCGCGCAGAAGGACACATATCTGGTTCATTTGGCTAATGAGCAAGCCGGACAATCTGTGCTGGTCTTCACACGGACCGTCCATGACGCGCAGAGAGTCTCGATCTTACTACGCCTGCTTGGCTTCTCCGCCATTCCTCTGCACGGTCAACTCTCACAGACGGCGCGATTGGGTGCACTCAACAAGTTCAAGGCTGGTGGACGGGCCATTTTGGTGGCGACGGACGTGGCGAGCAGAGGTTTGGATATCCCGGCTGTCGACCTGGTCGTCAACTACGACATACCAACCCACTCGAAAGACTACATCCACCGCGTCGGACGTACTGCCAGAGCAGGACGCAGTGGGAGGAGTGTCACGCTGGTCACCCAGTATGACGTAGAATTGCTGCAGCGCATAGAACACGTCATTGGCCAAAAGCTGACGGAATTTCCAGGTTGCGAAAGAGAGATGGTCATGCTCTTGTCAGAGAGGGTTGGACAAGCTTGTAGGGAAGCCATCAGGGAGATGAAGGACTGGAAAGGATCTGCTGGAGGCGCTGGCAAGAGAAAGAGGAGAGGCGATAAGGATGACATGGACAGAGATGATGACGAAGTGCAGGCTGGAATGCCTTCCAGAGGGCGAGGCGGTGGTGGGAGAGGGAGGGGCGGCGGTGGCGCTAGGGGAAGAGGAGGCCATAAGAAGAGGGGACGACATTGATATATGTGCGCAGAAGGCTCTCCCGGTGCCGCTCGTGTCTCGCACTCAAAGTGACTCTGCAGTCCCTCGCTCTCGCCTTCCGTATCTCCTGTATCAACTGTCTCGCAATGCCTCGCAATGTCACCTTCACACCATCGGTTCAAGAAGCGCCACGGCAATTTGCGATCTTCTTCGTCAGTCACGTATGTCGCGATCGCCCAAGAGCCTCGCAGGCGGGTCGGGGGCAGCATGGGAAAGCGGACATGATGATGCCTTTGCAAAGTGTCATCGGACAGCTCAGATGAAAGACGTTCACCACTGGCCGCGATGCCGTCTGGGCGCAACACCACCGATGCACGACTGAGTGAATCGTGGAACTCACGATTCACCATTGCAGGAAGCACAGCCTCAACGCTCAGTTGCTGTGCATACTGTAGCAGCAGCAGACGCTTGCGCAGCTTCCCGCCGGGCGGCGGGAGGGGTGCAGCCCGCGAATCCGAGCCGCGGTTATCTCGCCCGCCACTTCATGAGTTGGAAGCGAGGTCCACTGTGCAACGCGTGACGCGCTCATCGAGTCCCTTCTCCACACGACATCGCTCGCGCGTGCATTCGTTGACATCGATGAGCTTGTCCGAGGTGTTCTCATTTTCCTTTCACCTTATTTGCCTCTCATTACACTGCTTCCGGCATCAACGCTGGTTGCTGCTACCTACCATTTGAAGCTCTGGCCGCGCCTGCCTTCTCAGCCCTCCATGCATTGACGACTGTCTCCCTCGAAAAATTCACACCTGGCCGCAGCATGTGGAATGCAAGCTTTGGCAGCAGCGGCAGCGGCGTTACCAGTGGCGGGCAAGGCGGAACTCGACCCAGGAGAGGCTGGGCGCTGGTCGGTCTCGTCCTTGCTGTGCAGCTGATCTGTTGGCGAGGAGCCAAGCTGAGCGCACGCTCGTTGGACTCCCGTGCTGCGAATCACCTTGGCTATGCGTCAACAGGAAGTCCTGCATTTGAGTATCCACCACTCGTCAAGAGGCAGATGTTGGAAGGGGGTGCAGCTTCTCAGCCCCAAGCGAGCTACGAGCAGGTAAGGCGCCTCACCAACGATGCAGCAGCCGGGTATGACAGCGCCAAGCATCACGACAAGGATCACCACCATCATCACGATGGCGACAACGACAAGAAGCACCACACTTCTTCGAGTCACAAATCAAAGCATTCTACAACATCCAAGCATCGCAGCAGCAGCAGCAGCACTAACACCAAGACAACTACCACTACCAGCACGACGAAGTCAAAGGAGCACAAGCACAGCCCCACTGCCGAACCACCACCACATGACCCCGAGCCGGACCCGGAGCCGACGCCGGATCCGAAGCCCGAGCCCACTGCGGGCGTGCCCGGAAGTGATTGTCATCCTATCCCACTCGAGAGAGGATCGACCGCAAGCTGCGCACACGTCATTAAAAGCTGTCCTCCCAGAGGGCACTTGGACTATCTAAGGTTCTACTACTGCGCAGGCGTCCAGTCGGAAGCCTTGCGGCACGAGCTTGAATGGTCCGCCAGTGACTCCAGAGCCTCTACATTGCACATTACGGGCATGGGACAGAAGCCCGAGCACGCACAGACCGAGGCCGTGGACTCGAAAAGACCCATCTCGGCTGCGGTTCAGGCCAGTCGGACCGCAGCACTCACGCTCATCATCGTCTGGATGCTCTTCTTGTTCTCTTCTGTCGGCATCGTGGCGAGCGATTTTTTCTGCCCCAATCTGAGCACCCTTGCAGCTCGTCTGGGACTCAATGAAAGCACTGTGAGTCGGGACGAGAGGTGTCAGGCGGAGATACCAGAGGTGCGTCCTCAGTGCTGACCAAAGCTCTGCTTTTGCCTCGTTCACCATTCATTTAGGCTGGTGTCACGTTCCTGGCTTTTGGAAACGGCAGCCCAGATGTATTCTCGACATTTGGAGCAATGAAGTCGGGGTCTGGCTCGCTGGCAATCGGGGAGCTGATAGGCGCAGCCTCCTTCATCGTCTCGGTCATCTCGGGGTCCATGATGCTCATTGCGCCTTTTCGCGTCAAGGCATATCCCTTTATTCGTGACGTTGGCTTCTTTACCGTAGCTGTCACCATGACCGTCGCGTTCCTTTTCGATGGTCACCTGCGCTTCTCGGAATGCATCAGCCTAATGAGCCTGTACATGCTCTACGCTGCAACCGTCATCATCGGTTCCTGGTTTCAAGAGCGGCGGAGGAAGCAAAGAGCAGCAATTGCTGCTGCGAGGGGCGAGTATATCCAGTCTAGTCCTAGCGTCCACTCAAGCCCATTTCACATCTCGCCGGAGAGGGTGAGCGAGCGTGCGACGAGTGAAGGCATGATTAGGGGGCACAGTATGCGATCCGACCTGGAACGGACTGGCAATCACCTAGCTGTCCCGGGCGCAGGGGGCTCACCTTACACTTCCCCTCTGAGTCTTTCAGAATACGATCCGGATGCCGACCCGATGGATGTTTGGGCACAGGAAGTCCGTAATACTGGCGGAACGAGCACTCCGACTAACTTGAGTCGACATGCAAGTCCGCATGGCTCGCCAAGGATAGGGCCCTCAGGCGCACCATCGCCTGGTGCACTATCAGCCTCGGCCTCCGCCAATCTCGCGCGTTCACAAGCGCGCTTCCGAGCAGGAATCGCAGCGAGACATTCCCTGCTTGGAGCAGTGGAGTTCAGAGACGTGGTGCGCAGTCTCCAAGACGCGGCAGCGCCAGATCGCAGTGTCGAGATCTTCACATCTAGAGACCCAGAAAGATTCCTACCTCACCCCGCTCATCAACATGCCACTCATCGTTCAATCAGACCGCGTCCTAGTCGACATGCTCGAGGCGTGAGCATGGGCGCAAGTCCTATGACTGCCCTCGAAGGCCCCGCCGAAGGGTTCAGTTGGAACACCAGGGGTGACGGTTCTTCATCAGGCAGGGACCGATCAAACTCGACAGGCGCAGCGCAGCGGCCTGCGCCTGCTCTGAACCGCAGTGTATCTGCTATCCCAAGCTACGGAGCAACTTCGACTTCACAGAACACGTTACCTTCGAGAAGAGCCAATAACGCTCAGACGAAATCTTGGATACGTGACACCAATGCGAATGCTGACGTCCGCCCCGCCCCTCTGGATGCATCAGTCGCGGTTGATGATCCATGGCGGGAAGGCAGCTCGTTTGTGCAGCAGGTAGGCGTCCCCTTTCCCCCGCATGATGGCTTGCACAAGAGGGATACTAGTGGCGGCAGCGCTTCGCATCTCGACCTTCCTCGGATACGGACAGGTGCTGGTCGCTCACGCTCGCCCGTGCCTTCCATTCACGTGTCGAGCCATGGTGCAGCAGAAGAGAGTAGCCTTCCGAAAGGCGCCAGCCAGTCCATTGAGCATTCAAAGAGCACACTCCTTGGTCGTTCTAAGGACCCAACAGGCGCCTATTCCCAAGTCATGAAGCCCAGAAATTTCCATCGAGCCTTCGTACGCCCCTTGCGACGCGCCTTGTTCCCATCCCTTCGACACTTCCACGAGAAGTCGTGGCTGGGTGTAGTAGTGTCCCTACTCACCGCGCCGGCTTTGCTTGTCCTCAATTTGACCCTACCCGTCGTCGACGACGATGGAGCTTCGCAGGTCGGAGATGGGGAGTTTGACCATTCTGGAGAAGGAGCAGTACACCTCGAGGGAGACGAGAGGCCCCTACAAGCGAGTGCGCCCTTCGCGGAAGGGGAGGAGGAGCGCATCATTCAGCTCGGTGCAACCTCAATCTCGATGGGGCCAGAAGACGACCCCTGGGCCGCCAGAGACCGAGAAGAAAATCGCAAGCGGGACCTGGACGTGGCGAAGGCGCTCAAGGCGTTGCCACGGGGAGAACAGTCCTTAGACGATGCTGCGTCTGCTGCAACCGCGTCGGTAGAAGGGGCACATCAAGGACACGGCGCCGACACGGTCACAGGAGATGTGGAAGATGTGGCGAGCGAATGCGAGTCCTTCGACTCGCACAAAGCCGTCGGCTTCGCCGGGGCGCCTTTACTTCAGACGGTCGCGCAGTGCGCCTTAGCACCGCCGTTCAGTGTCTGGTCGGTGACCGATCCACGCGGAAAGGGACAAGGCTGGAAGATTCTGCTAGCGCTTCTGATCGGTCTAGGCTTGGGCGTGGTCGTGTTTCTCATCGGGATCAGGGCAAAGATACATGGAGGCGCCTGGAACTCGCGACAGTCCATTCTAGCTGCTGGCATGGCGCGTTGCTGTCTCGGGTTCCTGGTCTCTGTCATGTGGATCATGACCATCGTGGATGAGGTGGTGACAATCCTGCAAACTGTCGGCGTCATTATGGGTCTCTCGGACGCCATTTTGGGCTTGACCGTCTTTGCAATGGGTAATTCGCTCGGCGATCTCGTAGCAAACGTCACCATAGCCCGGATGGGTCATCCGGTCATGGCTGTGAGTATGCGATAAATGATCGCTCTACAGCTTCTACATGACATTGAGGCAGGCTGACCTCTGGTCCGTGCTGCAGATTTCCGCATGCTTCGCAGGGCCACTGCTGAATCTTCTACTTGGAATCGGTATCTCGGGCTCCTACCTTCTCTCGGGCGCATCAGCCTCGGCAGCAGGACCGCAGTGGGCAGATGGCGTCTACCACATCGACTTTAGCCCGACATTACTCGTCTCGTCCATGGGACTCCTGACCATCCTGATTGGCACGCTCATCGCAGTGCCTTTGAATGGTTTCTACCTCTCAAGACCGCTGGGATGGACCTTGATCGGCACTTATGCTGTCATCATGACGACTAACAGTGAGTGGACCGCAGATCTGGTACTGGCAGCTTCATCGCTTAGCCTTTGCCTGGATCTTCGCAGTCCTGGTCGAGATCTTCTACAATCGCAAGCACAGCTACGGGCACCTCTTCATCTGATGGCTGGCTGGCGTCGGGCAGCTACCCTCTCGTACACACCCTACCTTATCTGTATATACGACAAAAGATGCGGCTGTAACAACACATGGCATGAAACATTCAAAGAAAGTACAACACGAGCGTCAACGCGGCCGCACCGGCGTGCATGTAGAATGGCGGAGGCCGAGTGTTGGTCGCACACACTCCGCCCGCGCATGAAAGCTAGAATGCCAGTGCTACAGGCGGAGTAAGTCCACTCTTGCTCTCTCGTAGATGCGATGTCCAACACTATCCTCTCCGGCCTGTTGCAATTCCTGTTGGGACAATGGGGCAATGCTGAACCTTGCGAAACAGCCTTGAGCTTGATGCTGCGGCTGAGGAGCAGGAGACGCTGCGTACTGTGTCGCATTGTTGTTAGCCTTGCCTCGAGCGGAAGCTCCCGGATTGACAATGACTGTAGAGTCGATGACCCGCGCAAAGGGGCGCATGATGGATGGCAGCAGCAGCACATCCGGAGTGATGGTCTGGAAGTGCGACAAGGCACTGTGCGTCACATCAAGGGGATGTCCTGTCGCACAGGAAGCTGGGAAGATTGGATAGAAGCTGCATCATCATGGAGTGGGGGCAAGCTCGACGATCAGCCTAGAGATAGGGAGATGTCCGAACGCCGCTTGCGAGCAGACACCGCGACTCACCTGCGCTGACTCAATACGTGTCTACAAGACCTGGCGAGTGGATCTTCCCTAGCAGCGTCACCGTCTTTGCTTCTTTTCAATGCTTCTAGTGCTGCATAAGGTAACCGGACGTCAACGCAAGTCTCCTCCTTTCCAAGATCTCTCAGTACGTCGCCCGTCGTGACGCCGAACACCACCTCATTGACGCTGAACATGCTTGGATTCGGCAAGCATTTGACACGCTGAGGTCGAGTCGAGGCGATACACAAGTTTAGCGGAAGCGTCACGACAGCCTCATTCCGGCGAGCGCGACTCACTTTCGGTATTCCCAAACTTGCGTCTTTCTTATCAAGCATAGGCTGGGGCCACGCTGCATGAGCAGTCACAGCGTCCTTGGTAGAAGGTATGAGGATGGCGGTCGTCCTTGGCGCGGTCTGCTCCAATCTAGCCAGGCGCGCAGAGATGTGCTGCTTGAAGATGTCCGCAGGAAGTTGATCCTGACCCGGTGCGGTCAATGCCGGGTGGCTGATTGGTATGAACGGCCCCAACTTTCGCCCGCAGAGCAATTTGGGCAACGTATCAGCACTGGTTTGCCTGCTCATTGTACCGGTTCTGCGCCCTAGCATACACAACTTAGCTGCGCACTCACAAGCAAAAGAACGTCCGGGCGGCTTTGCTCCACGCTGTCCATCAGTCGGTGCCACGGGTCAAAGAGCAAGTCGGAATCAATACTGAAAGGTCCCGAAGCAACGACGATGGAAAGGGGAGTAGAAGCCATCCTGCCAGGGGCGTGATGGTGCGTCTGTAGCTCCTCGGCCGATGTTGAAGCGTGGGGTAGTGGGGGCGGCTGAAGTTTCCAGCGGTTCGGTGCCCAGCTGTGAGCCAAGATGTCCGTTGGAAAATCGTGTACAGTATTACTCACCAGCAAAATTTCTTCCACCACGAATTTTCCAGCACCTCCATTCTTGCCATACAGTCCCACGATCATGCCAGGAAAGACGCCGGTTCTGGGTTCTGTCCTCGGGTCGCATCCAGGTGTTGTCCTGATTGTACAACTGGACGGGAAGACGAGCGGAGTCCTGCTTCCAGCTCCGACTAGTCTGCTCGACTCAAGCACCACGTTTCCGCTGGTCAACCTCGGGAAACCGCGCTCGCTCTGCTCCTCAACTCCGTCCAGAGCACCAGCCAAAATTTCTTCATGAGCAGCAGATGTCGAATGCGCGACAGCAGTCCCAGCGGGAGCAGAAAGCGCTGGTGCCAGACGGCCAATGACGTAGACTGAATCTTGAGACGCTTGTGCAGCATCGGCTATATCGTCGGCAGAGAGGTCGTAGGTCTCTAGGATGATGGATGCCATGGCATCGATACGATCGTCCAGAGCTGATGCGAAAAGATGGGGACAGCCCGTCAGCTTGACTTGCAAGGGTCGTTCAGAGCCAGATTGAGATTGACTGGACTCACCTTCGCCTTTGCTACCCAGCCGTTCGAACATATATCGGTAGCTCCACGCTTTTGGATCTGTTCCAACAGCGAGAGCAACGCGTGTAGGTCCAGCGGAGCTAGGCCCACTTGGCGCTAGCTCGAGATTTGCATTGAGAGTTTCGAGGGTGCTTAACGAGGCTTTCAGCTGAGCGTTTGCATTTGTAGGCATCACGTGGGAGGTGGTGCCCGGCAGAGGGCCAGCAGAATTGGGACCATTTTGAGCTCCTGCTTTGGTCGGCGCGCGAGAAGGCGTGGATTGGTAGGGCGAGCTAGCTTTAGGTATGGAGCTTCTGGCAAAGACACTTCGAGACGGTGTAGAGGGCGAGATGCCTAGCCTAAATGCGGAGCATGAATGGACGCGTGAGTCCACAAGGTGCTGGCCTGAGCGAATCTTCTCGATCCAATGGCACTTACATTCCACCAAGACCTCTTTTCTGAGCGCTTCGAGCAGGCGTTACCCCACCTGGGTTGCCCCTGGCATCCTTGATGGCTGCTCCGAAGGTCGCTTCCCTAGCTCTACGCTCCTCATCGCTCAGACTCCTAGTCAAGAGGGCGACAGCGCTCTCGTCAAGCGCAGGAGCGGCCTTGCTAGGTGTAGCTAAGGACAAAGAGAGGGCTTCCCATTTGTAATAGAGATCCTGCGAGGTCGGCACGAGCGTGGGGTAGGTGGACAAAAGTACGCAGAGCTTCGACACAACGTTCGAAGTGGGTGGCAGCGAGAAGGTCTTGGCTACGTCTGCGGAAGACATCCTGAGCAATGTCGAATGAGATTTACAAGCGCGGTGCCTTCGCGTAGCTATCGAATAAGTCGAGTGGTTGGTAATTGTAGGCGCCAGCTGCACAGATGATTCACACAGCGCGCAGATGTCCTCGGATCCCCTTTGAGTGATGCTCTTGATGCGATGTCGATATATGCGCGAGCCTCGAATGAGAATGCCATGGATGATGGCAGAATTGGGCTTCGTGGATACTGGAGGGTGGATTTGTGATTGAGAGATTCTGGATGCACCTCACACATGCCTGCAGCCTACAAGAACCAATTAACCAACAGCACAGCAGAGCAGAGCAACGCGCGTGGGGACGCGTCGCACAGCGCGTAAATTCGCTCGACGCGTTCTCGCACGCTACTTCTTCTCGGCCGATATTATTACGGCCCCTCGTCTTTGCGTGCACGCGCAATTTAGAATCACTATGTATGCGGCGTGGTACGTCGGATGTCATAAATGCGGCGATATATGCGCCGAAAGATGTGTTTTTTGAAATCTACAGGTAGAGTGACGTGACGTGCGCATGAAATGCGGCGCATATCGCCGGATGATGTGTTGTTGAAATTGGAAGTGACGTGCGCATATACTGCGCGTCCACCTTCTTCCCGTTATCAGCACGTTTAGCGTGAGGTGGAGGAGCTCAGTGCAGCGTGCGCACGCGGACCCTCATCATGGGAAACGAAAGCGGAAGCTCTCACAACCTTCACTCGATCGGACTCACGACTGATCGCCTCGAGCATTTAGGATTTTGACCCGCCCACCGCTAACAACCATCCTATGTTACATTGCTTGAAAAGCGAACAAACACCCTGGTCCACTGCTTCGCATCAAGCTTTGTGGCCCAGGAGTCGATCTTCTGCTGAGGTTTCGAAGGGCCAGCGCCAGCTTCGCAGCAGGGTACAGAATGTCAAGCAAAAAGCTGCCAAGCGCATTTCCGAGCGCAGTTGCCTCTTCCTCGACGTCTAGGGAAGCACGCGACTTTGCTTCGATAGCACCGCTTGACACGCCTCCGCCCATCGAGTCTCTGTCCGATCTCGTAGCGTATCGAGCCGCGCAGAAACGGCAGAGCCCTGATCCTGCCTCACTCGCACAAGCCTCCTCTTCTCCTCTTCACAAGACGTTTTGGTTCGGTAATGGAAGCCAAAATGAACCTTCCGCAATTGACGATACTCGCGCGCAGCCCGTCTTGGAGGACGATGAGGCGATCAGAGTCTCTGAAGGACGCAGACGGACTCCACAGCCAAACATTTGGGAGCGAGCTCGTAGTGCGCTGAGTCCGCTGTCAGGACTATTGGGGCAGTCAGCCCACACGGCAACCTCGCGAGACGATGCAGGAAGCAAAAGCATCGCTGGGGCAACCCGTGGTTCGGACTCGAGCGGGCCAGGCGCGATGTATGAGCGTCAAGCGGCAGAAGATGAGGCAGGATTGAGTGACACGGTAGAGCAGGAGGACGTGTCGCTCGAGTCCCTGCGTCTTTCGACCGCGTCCTTAGCCATTCTCACTGCTGCGGTCGCTGGAGCGCAGATGGCCTGGTGCCTGGAGCTGGCGTGAGTAGCGTGCGTGCTCTTTGTCTTCGAAACTCGCAACTTGCTGAAGCGCTTCTGCCTTTCCGCCTCGCTTTGCAGGTTTGGCACGCCCTACCTCTTGTCCCTGGGTCTGTCTAAATCCTCCACCTCACTCGTATGGCTGGCAGGCCCTGTCAGCGGGCTGATAGCTCAACCGCTTGTAGGGTCCATGTCGGATCGATCCACCTCCCGCTTCCGGCGAAGGAAGTACATGCTGTCAGCTGCGCTCGTCCTCTCTCTCAGCACTCTTCTCGTCGCTTTTTCACGTCCTCTTTCTGAGCTGCTGGCCGATATCACAGGCGTTGGAATGGGCGACTGGGATCCCACAAGAGAGAAGACAGTGGTGGCATACAACCAGTCCTTTGCTATCGTCGGCTTCTGGATTCTGGATTTGAGCCTGAACGCTCTGCAAGCTGCTTCTCGGGCATTAATCCTTGATGTCGCACCATCTGAGCAACAAAGCAGCGCAAATGCTTGGCAAGGACGCATGACTGCCCTGGGCAATCTGATAGGCTATTCTGCTGGATGGCTCGACCTTGGATCATCTAGAGCCCTACGATGGGTCGGAGGCGGTCAATTCAGGAAATTGGCGTTGGTCGCTTTGACGGGCATGTTGGTCGGAGTGGGAACGACCTGTTTGCTCATCGACGAGACAAAAGGTGCGCATTCAAACGCTACCAGCGGAAGCACCAACACGACTACGCCACATGGACATACAGTGCAACCTCAAAGCAGTCTCTGGCAGGAGCTGAAGCTCTCGCTGAGAGACATTTGGCAAGCAGCAAGAAGGCTCCCCCGACCTGTGCGAAGAGTTTGCATGGTCCAACTATTTGCGTTCATGGGCTGGTTCCCGTTGCTATTCTACGCCAGCAGCTACATCGCAGAAGTTCACGCAGCCCAGAGAGGTGGTCGAGATGCCGTGCTTCTTGAAGCTGGGCCGGCGCAGAACTTTCTTGGGCGGTCTGCGGCAGACAAGGACGCGGAAAGGGGAAGCAAAGCTCTGCTGTGAGTGTTTGCGTGTCGCTTCTCGGTCTTAGCGGTATAGTTCGCATCTAACGCCAATTTGCTTCTAACCGCTGCTTCTGGATGCAGATTGTATTCTCTCGTAGCTTTGGTTTCAGGAACTCTGCTGCCTTATGTAGCTCTTGCTTCGGACTCGCGCTTGCAGAATTTGTGGTCGAAGAGGCAGCCCTTGGCCAGTGAAGGTCTTACTGAGTCAACACATCTGCTCCCCAGGATGGGCGAGGAAGCAGGACTGACAACATTGCCCAAGTCCAGGACAAGGCTTCAAAGGATCGCCCAAGGCATTCGAGAAGGGGTGACTCTGCGGACTATGTGGACTTGCGCAAGCCTCCTTCTCGCTACCTTGATGGCGATCACATTTCTTCCACTCAAAACCACTGGAGCGACTGTACTGATATCGATGGTTGGCATTCCCTGGGCAGTTGCTAGCTGGGTACCCTTTGCGTTGGTCATGGAGCAAGGTGAGCGACTGCCATTTCCCCGCTGTTGACGTTGCTGAGACTGACCAACGCCGTCTTACGTCGCTTCGTCAGTTCACGAAGCCGAACAAGGCTCGTCGCCGTTTGAATTCGAGGGAGACTATCATGGCGCGCAAAGGACTGCTCAGCGTAGGCGGGCCAGCATGCTCGCTGCGGCAAGCTTCCACGTCGCAGGTACTTCCTCGGAGAGCACATCAAGTGATTCCACGATGGCGCGGACACAATTGAGAGCCGCACTGAACGAGTGTGGTCCCCTGCGACGAGGAGACCCGCCTGCATCACTTTTGAAAGGGCGTTCGAGTAGGAACACGACTCCTAGTGGAAGCGTCCTGGCCAGGGGTGGAGAGATCATCGGTCATCTCCCATCCAGCACTTCGAGGCATGCGCCAACAGCTGCCTCGACGCAGGGCGGATCGGGAGGCACGATTCTCGGCATTCACAATCTCGCCATCGTCTTCCCTCAATTTGTTGTGGCAGTCATTGCTAGTCTGATTTTCAAGGCCGTGGATCGTCAAGATCCGACGGTCACCCTCGTCAACGAAGGTCGCAGCGCGAGCCTCGATGTTTTCCCATTCTTTGTCGGGAGTGCAGAGCCTCCGCACCAGCAGTCAGCAGAAGGTGTGGCTTGGGTGCTGCGATTTGGAGGTCTCATGTCCCTTTGCGCTGCCTTACTCACCAGATTCATTCCGTTGACTAGAACGGAGAGGGCAAGAAGAGGTGAAATACTGGATGCTGATGTTGCACCCTCTCACTTCGACGACGAGGTAGGGGAGGATGAGGCAGAAGATGAGCAGAACTGATGCTTCCGAGCTTGGTCTGCGCTGTCTCAACCCCACAATCCCTCCCGCCTCACAAACCCGAAACACCATAAATGACGTGAGACCTAGAGCCAAGATTTGGAATGCAATGGTTCCTCGTTGCTCGGCCTTGCATCATTCGATAGGACAGATGCACGCAGATTGTATTGCTGGAAGCACGGGACACAGAATGTCTAGAAATGAATCGCTTTGCCAAATGTAGCTTGCATAGCCGCTTCCTTGAAAGCTTCTTGCAAGGTGGGGTGCGCAGCGCAGGTTCTGGCGATGTCTTCCGCTCTGTCCAGCGAGCAGGCCGCACAAAAAGACATCAGCGCTGTGGCAGACTGGCTCATTTTCGAGACACGACGAAGGTAGACTTACGAGGCAGAGTATTCCATGGCAAGCACGCCCGACGCAATCATTTCACCAGCATTGGGTCCGATAATGTGAACGCCGAGGATCTTGTCCGTCGTCTTCTCGGTCAAAAACTTGACGAAGCCTTCTGAGTCCGCGTTTGTCTTGGCTCTTGACTGCATTGGCCCAACCAAGTGAGAGAGAATGGGTAAGCTATCCGACACTCAGGGGCGGATTTCTCTCGATTTGTGTGACTCACGTTGGCCAAGAAGGGGAAATCTGCAATTATTTCAAAGTAGCTGTCAGCGCTTGCCGCGGACGGGTAGCAATCTTCTCGTCAGGTCTTTCGTACTCACTACCGATCTTGTACTCCACACCTTCGTCTTTCAGTTCCTGCTCGTTCTTGCCGACCCACGCCACCTCAGGGTGGGTGTATACAACGGCCGGAATTGCATTGTAATTGACGTGACCGTGGCCAGTGGCAATGATCTCCACAGCTGCGATGCCCTCCTCTTCGGCCTTGTGGGCAAGCATTGGACCGAAGGTGGCATCACCAATGCACTTGACTCCTTTGCAGGTGGTGTTGTATTGGTCGTCCACGACAATCCGACCTCGATTGTCCTTCTCGATGCCAACAGCTTCGAGGTTCAGACCTTCGGTGACTGGCCGGCGGCCGATTGCCACCAGCACCACGTCGGCATCCAGAGCTTCCTTTTTGCCATCTTTCGCGCCTTCGACGTTCAGCAAGACTTTGCCGTCCTTCTTCTCGGCGTCGATGACCTTAGTGCCAAGCTTAAACTTCAAGCCCTGCTTGCCGAGAATCGACTGGAATTTCTTGCTGTGGGTCCCGACGCAGAGTGTAAGATACAAGCAGTCTGGATTTCGCATGCCCGCCACGTCAAAAGCGTGCGGCCACAGCTCGCACTCACCTGACCTCGGGGTCCATGCCAGCACCTCCGACCGCGTTCAAGAATTCGACAACAGTCACTTCTGCGCCTAGTCTGCTCCATACGGAGCCCATTTCCAGCCCGATGACACCGCCACCGATGACAATCATCTTCTTTGGCACGCTTTCCAGCTCCAGCGCGCCTGTGGAAGACACGATCTGTTTTTCATCGATCTCAATACCGGGAAAAGGTGTGACTTCGGACCCTGTGGCAATGATGATGTTCTTTCCCTCTACCCTCGTCTCACCGCCATCGTTGAGCTTGACGGTCAATGCGCCCGGCTCGGCAAAAGCACCGTGTCCCTTGATGTAGTCCACTTTGTTTTTCTTGAAAAGACCCTCGATACCCTTGGTCAGTGCTGTGACGCTACCCTCCTTCGCTCCGAGCATCTTCTTCAGGTCAATGGAAACATTTTCGACATTGATACCTCGGTTCTTGAAATCGTGAGTAGCTTGGTGGTACAAGTGAGAATTGTTGAGCATTGCCTTCGAAGGAATGCATCCTACATTTAGGCAGGTACCGCCCAACGATCCGCGCTTCTCGACACATGCAGTCTGTCGTGCCCAGCCAAGAGAGGGAGACGATGGTGTGTATGCGTCAGTAACACTTGCAGGACAGCTCCGAAAACCTTTCCAAAAGCATTGGCTGTGGTAAGCCTGAGCTTGTAGGCGACTCACCTTTAAGCCGAGCTGCGCGGCCTTGATAGCAGCTACGTAGCCACCGGGCCCACCACCAAGTACGACCACATCATAAGGCTTGGCCTCAGTGGCATACCCTCTCAAAGAGCCGTTCTGGACGAGCCGAGGAAGTGTGGAGGGTTGAAAGGCCTGCGGCGTGGGGACGAAGAGATCGGCGAAAGGTTAGGCGACGTTTCGACTTCGGTGAGAAGTGGCGGTGCATCACACGGTGACGATGAGACTCACCTTGGGCGCTGCACGCCTGGCGAAAAGAGGGGCCAACATGCTTGCAAATTGGGTGCTTGTGTAGCTAAGACTTCTGTGGGAGATCGGCAGACTTGGAGTGATGGTGGCAATCACGATGGGAAGGCCTATCACCGCGATCCATGCTGCTGCTGCTGCTGCGAGGTGTGCTCTCGGTCGAAGGTCCGTGGGTCCGCCCGCCCGTGCGTGCCACGACGGGTTGGGTTCGGCCTCGCAGCCCTCACGCAAACCCCAACCAGAGCAAAGCGCAGGCGTTCAAATTTCGCATCGACGAGCGCGTGCATGCTGCATGTCAGCAAGCCTCTCGCGTCCCAAAGCCACACGTCCTGCTGCCGGCGAAGCGCGGTCGATTTGCGCCGATGTTGGTTGTGCTGTCTGCCGCCCCTCACACTCACACCCCGCCCTCAAAACTGGCGACTTGTGACCGTAGCTTCCACCTCAGGGCCTCCTGTTGCACTGGTGACTGCTGATCGCCTTTTGTCACGTCTGCAGGAGAATTGGAACGAAGCAGCATACTCGCAGTCGCGCAGAAAACACATACACCAGAGTCACTTGAAGTGGTCGCCGAGATGCAAGATGCGATGTGAAACCAGAAGGAACAGACGAGGACAGCATGTCGATGGACCATCAGAAAGCGGATGGTACTCGGCGCGGCCAGTCTCCATTCACCAAGGCGTCCACAGCGGAATACGTAGCGCGGGATGGGAGAGATAGCGAGGAGAGTGATGGCGTGCCGACAACGATCAGTGCTCGCGAGGCCTATGGCTTCGCGCTCTTCTTATTCGCCACGCTCCTAGGTGTGCTCTGGGTCATCTGGGCTTTGACGCCCGACAGGCTGCTCAAGGCCGCCGGCTTGGACTGGTATCCAAATCGGTGAGTCCTTGCTTTTTTGACTGCAGCGCAAGCTACATACTCACACCATGTGTGCGGACGACAATGGTGCTCAACCCTTAGGGAGTGGGCCTTCCTACTCCCTGCTTGGAGCCTGGTCGCTGTTCTCGTCACCTACACCATCTTCATGTCCCTCAACTTGTACGGTAATGGTGATCTAGCGGACTTGTCCAAGGTCGTCGGTGAGTCCCGCTCAGGTCATCTGACCACTCGCGTGAGGATTGGTTCGACGATCATTGGTGTGCAAGTTTGGGGGGAGGCGTCGTGCTGCGAGATGTTCAGGCGCTGAGCGAAAGCGCATCTAAAGGAGCCTCGATTGCCACTCATCCTGCAGATTCTCACAGCAACATACACGCAGTAGCGTCTGATCCAGCCAATACAATCCAGCCACTTCGGGACACGTCCAGCCTTCTGGAAACAGGATTCAGGGCCACGAACACCCAGAGTCGCCGCAAAGAGGCTCACGAAAGATTCACCTTCGATGGACCCTTGGCTGGAGATATCTACGATCTGCCTCCGGGACTTGTTAGCAGACTCACGCCGCGGTGGACCAAGATAGAGCAGCGGCGATAAGCCGGCAGTGGTGGTAAACAGAGCCGCGCAACGTGCAAAAGGGGCAGCCCTGGAGACCGGCACGCATACAAGAGGCTGCGTGACGAAGCAAAGCAAAATTCTCAGAGCTTCCACTCATCAGTGTCGCGCATGGTACGCAGTCGTCAAAATTTCATGCCATTGAATGCCCAAGTTTGACTGACTGTGAGGTGATTAGAGAGTGACCTCCCTCACGCCATCTCTGTCCACGACCCTGACCTTGAACTGTCCCAAGTCGACAATGAATCTGAGTTTGAGCTGGTTGATGCATCTCCTCAGCAAGTCCAAGCCTTCTTCCAAGCTCATGTCAGGCCTGTGATATCTGTCCATCGTACTGAGAGTCAAGTGAGCACCGTAACCATGTGCGCCAAAAGGTACCGGGATGGAAGTTCCGAGATAGTCGACCCAATACAATGCTGGCGTGGATGCTGGGACGTCAAAACCTGCGAGCAAGAGGTTCACTTGGTAGGCGTTGCGTGAGCGCAGAGACTCTGCGAGCTGATTGCGGATCCAGGCTGCTGCTGCTCTTGGTCGCAGCTCAACGTGATGACTGCGGCCAGGGAGGATGCGGGTGAGGTGTTGCGGAGTGAGTGAGCAAGCGTGCAGCACCAGAGCTGCTCGATCCGAACTCACCGTATGCTGTACAGTTGCAAGTTTCGCTCGATGTACTCTGAAAACTGCAAGGTATCGCCTGTGTAGGAAAGGTCAAGTGGCTATGTCACTAAGCCGCTTTGTTCTACGCTTTTGAAGAATGCCTTTGCACACCCGGGGTACACAACACGCCTTCCATCGCAAGGCACTGTGGCCTACTTCTTAGCATCTATCACTCACCGCTTTCACCAGAATAAGCCATGACAAGGTGACGACTCAAGACTTTCATCTTGTCCTCATCACCCTTCATCTTGATGATGGACCTCGCCGCATTGCTATCCGAAGCAATGATAGCATATCCCTTGCCTGTGATACCGAACGTGCACTCCATCCTTTCGTCTAGTCGCAGGTAGTGTCAAATGCGTCCAGAAAGCGATTTGAGGGACGGAATGCAGACCCGGTAGTTGTGCACTGATTCTATAAGGGGGTGCTACGAGGTGGTGCGTCTGAAGAGCTAGAGGTTCGGGGCGCAAGCTGTGGACGGGCTCAATGGCTGTGAAGATATGGGGCCGAATTGGCTTCGCTACCCAAGGATCCGGTAGGAAAGAACAGGCAAGATAGTTCCGCTACTTCGAAGGAACGAATGCGGTCAGGTCAATGAGCGCGTTGGTAGTAGTTGTGAGAGGTTCGGTCGTGGTTGAGTACCAGCATACACGACTCAAGCTGCACAAGACGCTTAGGCTGCTTCGCACGCTCACGGCTTCAGGCCGCGCGTCGAGATGCGGTGGCCCGCGCGCGCCATCAGTCACGACTAGCTTACGCGTCCCACCACAGCATTCCGGTTCTATAGTTCTTGATTGAGGTCTTTTGGCGCGCCTTCACTCGTGACTTCCCAGCTTCTGTGCACCTTCTCGCACATGGTGAGGATCGTCCACGCGAACGACATGCTAAACAATACCCGCTATCGCTGTCATGCAACAATCACGTTGCTGAAAGATACCGGCCACGCGGTACGGGCGGAAAGAGAATATGTATTGAACAAGTACACGGGTGGATCACTTGGCATTCTGCCTTTTGCGCTCTCTTTTGATTTTATCCTTTTCTTTCCTGAACAGCTTGTCCTGATGTTCCTCGTCTTGCAAGCTACCAGTGACCCTTCTAGTCCATTTCTCATATCTATCCTCTTCTTCCTTGTTGTCTCTCCTGCGCTGTTCCGCAACAGCAGCAGCGTCTCTTCGCAGCTCCCTAACCGCCCCCTTCTTCTCCTTCTTGACGAGTGCACGCAGCTTGGCCGCTTCCGCTCTCTCAGGATCTGGATCAAAGACGCGGCTGGACTTGCGGGTCGGGTCGAAGCCGCCGAGATCGAACTTGGGCACTTGCGAAGCAAGCGGAATGGCACGGTGCGCTTGCAATCTCAAGGCTCGACGATTTTGTGACGCTCGAGCAAGGGCAATTGAGAGTGTTGCGCGCAAACTCGACGCACGAGTCTGTAGCGAAGTAGGCAAATCAATATGTGCTGCATCGATGCAAGCCAAAAGCTCTTCGTATGGTTGCATCAGCTCGACGTAAGCTACGCTACCGTCATATAGCTGCGCAAAAGCTTCGACCAGGGCAAATGCTTGCTGAAGAAGTAATGCCTTGACTTCGCCTCTTTCCTTTGCGTCGTGTCTCGCTGACTTTGAGGACTTGAAGGCCAACAGATGCAAAAGATCGGCAGGTCGGGATGCTGATGTGCCTTCGCTCTTCAGAGAAGCAACATCCTCTTTCGTCAGTGCCAAATGAGCAGTGTGCGCCGCACCAAGGTCAGGCGCAGGGATGCCGAATGCATGCTTGATGCTTTCTGCACGCCTCGGAGCCTTGCCAGTCGTTGGACCAAGCGTCAAAACACCGATAGCCTGGTGCAGAAAGTTCAGAGACTCCGGAAAGATCCGTTTAGACTGTCTTTCATTGGACGCCACCAAAGAAGCAAGGAAAAGACCAGAGGCGAGATCCGACAACGTTCTGATCCTGCAGTGGGCGAGATACTGTGCTATCAGCAGAGCCATAGGTGTAGCCACTGGATGAGACCTGTCAGAGGTGGGGAACACCTGAGCACTGATCCTGAGAAGTGCGCACTCCGCAGGCCCTGGCCACGTCCTTGCGTTCTCGTCCAGCGCGCCTTTCGCAACGCCTCGTCCCAGATTCTTGTGCATGACACTAAGTTTACCCACGAAATGCTGCGCCGCAATCGTTGGGTAAGTCTGGGACAGCTCATGTATGTGAGGAAGCAGATTTGCGACTGTCTTGAAACCACCGGCCGATGCATCAAGTGAGCAGTGAAGGCAGTGCTCCAGTAAGACACCGAGGAGCGCTGCCAATTTGTGCTTGTTATCGATACCAAGACTAGCATGGTACAGCGCTCGGATACGCTGCACGACTGTCGGTACATCTGACACGCTGATCCCGTTGGACAAGAGTAAATCGAGGAAATCCTCGTGCGTCGCTGGGCAAGAGAACGTATAGGGTAGCGAAGAGCTCGGAACTTTAGGATCCTGTGACGGGGAGCCCTTGTTGGCTGGCGAGAGGACAGAAGAAGTCGGCTTGCTGCCAACTAGGTCCGCTTGAGCTTCCAGTCCTTCAGCCTCCTCGCTGCTGGCCGGCTCTTCCATGTCTTCAAAATCGTCCATATCTTCCTCCTCAGGCGAGCCATCATCGCCGCTCTGCTCGCTCCCATCGTCGTCATCGCTGTCATCCAGGTTCGAACTTTGCCGGTCATGCTCTTCCTCCTCGTCCCGAGCGTCTCCAAGTCCGGGACCAAGACCATAGACGTCTGCAGCGTTGCCCAAATCTAAATCCAAGTCGTCATCTAGGTCGTCGGCGCCTGGTGCTCTGCGACTCGTGATCCCGCCGTTGGTACCTCGTCCATCCGGTATCATCTCGCCTCGCATGCGTCTTAATCTAGCATCTTCGGCAATTCTCAGTCTTTCCGCTTCTTCCGCTGCTAGTTCGTCGGCTGTCTTGAGTCTGTCCTGTGGCTGCGCTCTGCGATCAAAAGCCAGCTCGCGGACAAAAGCGTCGTACTCCTCCGACTTCTCTCGTTCCACTCGGGCAGGTTTTTGAGCATTCCCATCGGCATCGGAGAATTTCTCTTTCGCTTGCCTGCCCTCAGCTTCAGGCTCTGTCGCAGTCCTTTCCGCTTCGCGTAATGCTTCGGTATAATCTTGCGCTGGGCCAAAGAGAGCTTCGCGCAGTGACGCAAAGTCATCGTCCAGCTCCATGCGCAAATCATCATCCTTCTCCTTGGCACGCTGCCTCTCAAGCTTAGCCAGCTTCGACTTCGCCATGACTTCCTGCATAACCTCGTACTTGCTCTTCTTGCGATCAGGCTGGCGAAAAAAATGGATCCGGTCGCGTACGTGAGCAGGTGCTTGCTGATTCATTCACACGTCTGTATGCTCACATCATCATCTTTATTTCCGTCATCGAAGCCCCCGAAATTGAGCTTGGAAGTGGTGGCACGATCAATACCGCCATGCTCATCCTCATCGTCGAGACCACCGAGGCCCAGCCCATCGTCCTCCATGTCATCCACATTGAGGCTTTGGCCGTAATGCGTCAAGCCATCTTCGGGACCATCATCAAGATTGAACAAGCTCTTCTTGCCACCTACGTCACCAGCCCTCGCCCTGTTCTGCCTCTCTCTTGTGAAACGCTCTAAAGCTCTCTCCTCTGGTGTCAGATTAGCGTCACCCTCTCCAAAGCGCCGATCGATGAATGTTCCGCTACGATGTCTACCTTGAATCTCCGGTAGCAGCTTCTGCCTTCTTTGGTCTAGCGCAGTAGACTTGGACACGCCAGGCCGACCCGTCACCCCCTTGAGGTTTCGGCCAAGCACCTCATGCTTTGGCTTGGTGATCCTCTCCTCGAAAGGGTTGAATGTGGCATCACTGCGAATCCGCGCCAGCGCTCCTCTACGTGCCTCCTCTGCCGCTTTCTGGACCGCGCCGGCTGATGTGGATGAGGATTTCCTTCTTCGCGATGCAGCACTGTTCTGTCGCTTATCCTTGATACCGTCGGAAGAGAGGCGCGCTTTAAGCTGCCTGAGCTGAGACCCCTTGGCCATTGCAGCACAGTGTCAGGAATCTGATGATGCTGCCGTGTGTGTCGATGTCTGGTGGCGGCGGTTATGACTGATGAGTTTGGCTGCCTGGCTGGCGCACTGCACGAAAGCACGTAATGGTGGGTGTCGGAGCGAGCTGACTGTGAACTGGAGCAAACGGCGATCACCGAAGAAGCTGGCGCTTAGTGTGCGGGCGGATCGTGATTGTTGTTGTCATGCACTTTCCTGATGCCGCTTGTCGTTCCGGAGGTCTACAAGGCTGCAATTTTGACTTTTTTTGGCGCGGGAACTGCGCAGTGCGTGATTCTCGTGCGAGACGCGCAAGCCCGTGACAACCACGACAAGAATTGGCAATTCCCACGCACCAAGATGCTGTAGCCTCCGCTTCCCCGACCCCGACAGACGACCTTCACTCTCGTCACTGCGATGTCGTCAACCACTAAAGCTTGATTTCACGATCGCACGTGCTCGCTACTCCTTCATCAATACGGAATGGCATCGTTGATCGAGGACGATGTGGCGGAACGGCTAAGTCAGCTGCTAGGGCTCGGCCAGCCGAACAAACTTTTGGCGAGCAGGGTCATAGCCCTCGCTCGCAGCCTCCCCTCCGAGCAGGCATTCGTCAGCGCTGCGCGCGGCTTCGGCAAATTCGAGTTGGCAGACCTTGCGGAGCTTAGAGAGAGGATCAGGAAGGCCCATGTCGACCATGATGCGCAGGCTGTCGCTGCGAATCTCGATGGTCACTCTTCGGGCGCTCGGGAAGACACCGGCTCACGTTTGCAACCCGACGAGCCAAGAAGGGCTGGGCTGACTACAAGTAGCAGCGAGGTGAGTCATGCGTTCATTTAACGTGAGCGTCAGCTGAAGCTAAAAGATGGATCTGTGCTGTAGCGACACGTTTTCAAAGCTCCGGCAACACCACGAACGTCAAAGCTGGGTTTGGACAGGATAGCAGCAGACAAACGCGCTGAAGCCCAAGTGAAGGGACCTAATGGTACAAGTGGCGGCGAAGCTCGGAAGCGAGCACGTCTCGATCCACCGAACTCCAACGACTCTCTTGCTCAGGGCTCCGAGACTCCCGTCCCTTCTTTCAAGGTCCCAGCACGGCCCACAGGCGGATCCGGAGCTGCGCAGCAGCGCGTTCGACCTCAAGACACGCCTAGTCATTCTGGAGGCATCAGCTCTAGCGCACGCGAAGTACTGGAAGCCAGAAAAAGAAGCAGGGCTGAAGGAGTATCTGCTGGCAACTCGAGAGACGCAGCAGCAAACAAGCAAGGCCAGCGTCTTGAAGACGAGCTGAGGGATAAGCTCAACAGAAATGTCCGTCATCGTAGGGAACAGCCTGATCTGCGCGATCGGAGCAGACATGGGTGGCGTGAGGACTCGAATGGTGGCGCCAGCGGCGGAAAAGGCTGGGGAGGTGATACACCAAGAACGAGTCATGGATCCAGCCGGGGGAATTGGGAAGCAACTCCTCGCAGCTCTGCCCCTTTGCCCAACCGATCGTGGGACTCAACGCCACGCAACGATCACTCATCCACTCCTCGCACGTCTCGAGGCTGGGAAGCTACACCGAGGCGCAACGGCAGGGAGGAAGACGATGGACGAATGACCCTGGCGGGAAGAGGGTGGGAAGCGGATGGCGAAGAGTCAGCCGCTTTAGATAGAGACTGGTACAGCATGGACGAAGGTGGAGTTGCCGGCGATGAAGAGACCAACGCTTTCAGCGCATACGCCGATCTGGAAGCATCCGCTGCCGCTGCTGCTTCTGGATCTGGAGGCGCCAAGAAGCAGACAGCAAGGCAGGCGGCTAGACAAGCGGAAGCTGATAGGTGGGAAGATGATCGATTGGCAGCGTCAGGCATCGGTGGCAGACGAAGGGTAGATTTGGACAACATGGACGACGAGAGCGAGAACCGCGTCCATCTGCTAGTACACGACCTTCGTCCGCCATTCCTGGACGGCAAGACTGTCTTCACGCGCCAACTCGAGCCCGTGAACCCAGTCAGAGACCCGACCTCGGACCTCGCCGTCTTTAGCCGGAAAGGGTCGAAGCTGGTCAAGGAGAAGAGGGAGCAAAAGGAGAGAGCGAAAGCGGCAGCTAAGATGGCGGCACTTGGGGGCACTGCCCTGGGGAATGTGCTGGGCGTGAAGGAAGGCGAAGAAAGGGATAGCGCTGGGAACAAGATTCACGAGACGGGCGGTGTTGAGGAAGATGCAGAAGGCTACAACCACCGGAGCGACAGTCAATTCTCGAAACACCTCAAGAAGAGCGATCAGGGGGCTAGCGCGTTCTCGCGCGGCAAGTCTCTCAAGGAGCAAAGGCAGTATCTGCCCGCTTTTGCCTGCCGAGAAGATCTGATGAGGGTGCTCAGAGAAAACCAAGTCGTGATAGTGGTGGGAGAAACGGGGAGCGGCAAGACGACTCAAGTGGCTCAATTTCTGCACGAAGAAGGGTATACGCGGCACGGCCTGATCGGATGTACTCAGCCCAGAAGAGTCGCTGCAATGTCCGTGGCGAAGCGAGTGTCGGAAGAGATGGAGGTGGAGCTCGGCGATCTGGTCGGCTACTCGATCAGGTTCGAGGACTGCACCTCGGAGAGAACGAAGATCAAGTACATGACCGATGGCGTGCTGCTAAGAGAAAGCTTGAACGACCCCGAGCTGGGAAAATACAGCGCCATCATCCTTGATGAAGCTCACGAGCGCGGTCTGAGTACCGACATCCTCATGGGTTTGCTGAAGAAGAGTGAGTGCGGTGCCAAAGCATATCCCGATGACACTGCTCGTTGACGACTCCAAGTGCCTCGTCAGTCTTGACACGAAGGAGAGACCTGAAGCTGATTGTCACGTCTGCTACCATGAATGCCGACAAGGTGAGCAGCACTCGGTGTTCTTGGCATTCAAGCCTTCTCAGCTGATCTTGAGATACGATTACGTGCTGCGTAGTTCGCTCAATTCTACGGCCATGCTCCGAATTTCACAATTCCTGGACGTACCTTTCCAGTGGACGCCTTGTTCTCCAAGTCTCCTTGTGAAGACTACGTGGACTCAGCGGTCAAGCAGGTCTTAGCTGTGCACGTCGGAGGTGGCGTTGGAGACATGCTTGTCTTCATGACTGGTCAGGAGGATATTGAGGTGACTTGCGATGTCATCCAGGGTGAGTGTAGAAATGCGGAAAGTAACGCTGGCGTAGGCAAGTTGCTGATGGAGGATCATCACTCCTCCCAGAGCGGCTGTCGCAGTTAGACGATGCCCCACCCCTTCTCGTCCTGCCGATTTATTCTCAGATGCCAGCGGACTTGCAAGCCAAGATCTTCAATCCAGCACCTAACGGCGAGAGGAAAGTGATTGTAGCTACGAATGTTGCGGAGACTTCATTGACGGTGGACGGTATCATGTACGTAGTCGACTGCGGCTACTCTAAGCTCAAAGTCTACAACCCACGCGTGGGCATGGACAGTCTACAGATCACACCTGTCAGTCAAGCGAATGCGAATCAAAGGTCGGGCAGAGCAGGCAGGACTGGGGCAGGTACAGCATACAGACTGTACACCGAGAATGCCTATAGAAACGAGATGTTTCCCAATACGATACCGGAAATACAGCGGACCAATCTTGCCAACACCGTGCTATTGCTGAAGTCTCTCGGAGTGAAGAATCTACTGGAGTTCGATTTCATGGATCCTCCACCTCAGGACAACTTGCTTCAGTCTATGTACTCTCTTTGGGTGAGTTGCCTGCCTGCACCCACAATACGTTCCGTGAATCAGTACTCACGCGTCAGTTCTCTACTTCGCAGGTACTTGGTGCTCTGGACAACATCGGCGACCTGACGCCCGTTGGCAAGAAGATGGTAAGCTCAATCAACCCGCTTCCGCACGGCTCTAGCTGACACCTCATGAAAACCCTGTTTCAGAGCGAGTTTCCGATGGAGCCATCACTCTCAAAGATTCTCATTGCCAGCGTCGATTTCAAATGCAGCGCGGAGCTGCTTACTATCGTCAGCATGCTTAGCGTGCCATCCGTGTTTTATAGACCCAAGGAAAGGCAAGAGGAGTCGGACGCTGCCAGAGAGAAGTTCTTTGTATCGGAATCCGACCACTTGACGCTCCTACATTGTTACACTCAATGGAGACTCAACGGATATAGAGATTCTTGGTGCGCTCAACACTTTCTGCACGGAAAGATCCTAAAGAAAGCCAGAGAGGTCGTGAGCGCAGAGTTTCACCGACGGCAGACTGGATGCAATGTGGCTCACAAACTCTTTGCTTTGACTCTCTGTGTGCAGCGCACTCAACTCGAGGACATTATGAAGACGCAAAGGCTCGATGTTATCTCTTGCGGTACAGACTGGGACACCGTTCGCAAATGCATCGTGACAGGATTCTTCCATCAAGCAGCTCGTGCGAAGGGGATCGGCGAGTACGCTCACGCCCGGACCGGTATGCCTCTACAGCTGTAAGTCTTCCGTTGCAATCGGTGCCAAGTGATTTGCTTCACAACCCTGACATGTATCGATCGCCTCTTCCAGGCACCCAACTTCGAGCTTGATAGGCGCTGGCGTCACGCCTCAGTTCTTGGTGTACCACGAAGTGATCCAGACCAGCAAAACCTACATGCACACGTGCACTGCCGTCGAGGCAGAGTGGCTGGCCGAACTGTAAGTGGTAGTGCTATGAACTATGAACGGCTTCTCGTCTTGTGCTGACGTTGCCACGATTCTTCGGCTGTCTCGATCGGCAGGGGCTCGGTCTTTTACTCCGTGCGACAGCAAGGAGAGAACAGAACAGGAGCACAAAGGCGCTTGGAAGCTCAGCAGTCTCTTTCCAAGCAGACAGAGCACGAGGCTGGGTTTGCAGCAGCCAGAGCGAAGGTCCTGGAAAGACAGCAGATGGAAGCGAAGAAGGAAGCTTCGGCCACGCCGAGGATGCAGATCGCTACACCTGGCGGTGCGACACCTAGGAGGGGGCGACGCATCGGATTCTGAGCCCAACATGATGCCCAGCCGACTCTTTTTCTCCGACGAAGGGTGGTATGTTCAAGTCGATTGTTTATTTGCGCCTCTGGTACACTCATCGCCATAGAGATACATTCATCGCAACCAGGCTTGTCACGCACACCTATTGCCCTTCGTGACACACCCACTTCCGTTATTCATCCAATCCGATTCGAACAAATGACATGAGTGCTTTTCGCTCACGTTCTCCGCGTTCAAACGATCTTCGTGGCTCGGTACCGATCTCTGCACCTACCTTCGCCTTGCAGTCATAGACGATTCAGATTGGACATGAAGCGGCAAGGGTTGCTGGGTTCCTGGTGCTGTGCAGACTCGAATGTTCATTGATTCCGAGTGAGTTTGGCAACGAGGCACGTCCACCGCATATAGCGTTCAAGACAGACTCTTGCCCATACTGTGTAGCGACCAAAAAGGTTGCCGTAAGCCATCGTACTCGCCTGATGATGTGACCCATTTTTAATCTGCTGTGTACTCACAAGCGCCTCTTGGTGAAGCTGAGCCACCACTTGCTGGGCTTGCCATCCACGTACACCTTCTCGACCAACCTAAGCGATAGTTCTTGCCGCAGCTGAGTGAGATATGACTTCAATTGGTCTGCGGAGTGTTGAAGAGAATGGCGTCAGCGAAAGAAATATCGCAACTCGCCTTCTTGCGCAACTCAAAGCGAGTGGTTGGGCTGAAGCCGAGCGCCTGGGACGGTCACACTGACCTGCTTCTTGCCTGGTAGCCGGAGCGGAGTAGAGGTTGTTCAAGGGGAAGCCAGCATCGCCTGGAAGGCTAAAGTTGTCCACTGCCAGTGTGGAAAGCTGCTTGATTGCCTCGTTCTGGGACATGGGCACCCTTGCTGATGCGATTTTGCTCAAGCAGTCAGAGATGTAGAGAATGAGGTAAATGAGAAGCTGCGGAGGACAGTGACGATGAAATGGGGTGAGCTGGTCCTAGCTCTGTGCGCGCCATGCCAAGGCAGGCGAGTACAGCACATGCTTTCCTACTCAGGCGTACTTCCAGCGTCGTCGAGCAGCGAATTTCTTTCACTCACTCGGTCAGCGCCACCTTTGATTTCAAAGTTCCTGAAGAGACAATTGGCCCTGAACAGGTCGATTGATTCTTCCACGATGTCCATATCCTCAGCGGAAGCTTCCAAGGGCATAGGAGGCGCTGGACCACGAATCTTGGTGCGGATGGGCAGGATCGACATGCTCGCTATGGATTGTATGCCTGCATCCTCGTTATGAGCGCTGTGATAGGCTGGCATCTTGGCGACTTTGACGTGCTGTCGAGTCTCTGAAGGCGGGCTAGCTTGGCAAAGAGCGCGGGTCAGATCGTCAGGCACGCTTGTGGGATCGATGGACGAATTGCAAGCCAAACACTGTCGTGTATCTGGGGTTGTAGAGTGGAAGACGTCGAGTTATGAGTGCAAGTCTGTCGGGTCACTCGCAGAGGTGGTGGAGGTGCAGCGAGGCGAACCAAGCAAGTCGATCGGGTCGTGATGGTAGAAAGCTGGGCGATCGCGCACCAGACTTGTGCGGCGACTGTACGCACGGGCATCGGCATGCGGCTAGGCGGGCGGTGCTTTGGCTGCCAGGTGTTCGGGTCACGTGTGCAGTCAGCCGCGAGTCTTGTGGATTCAGAAATCAAACGATGCGTGGATTCTAGATTCGTTAGATGTAGCCTCGAAGCTGCCCTCTTGACTCACAACTCACCTGCGCCTACTTCCCCCAACTTACTTGACTCATGCTGGACTCGACCGACGACGCTCGCATCCACAATCCACTATCTGTGCCCATGCCATCCGTACCACTTGGAGGTGTCTGAACTCTTCTAGCAAACAAAGCCGGACGTTGATGCTCCAGTGGCTGGCGAGCTGCGGTTCTAGCACAACAACACCTTTGCCACCATGCCGACCGCTGATGATCCATTCGCCGCTCTAGGCCTGCCGGTGGGCGCATCCGGTGAGTGACACATGGAGCTAATGCCAGGCTGCTTGTCTCGAGCCTCGATCTCGATGAAGTCATACTGACGCTGCCTCGCACTACCTCGTCGTAAATTTCAAGAGGCCGACATTCGCGCAGCATACCGAAGACTCTCGCTCAAGCTGCACCCCGACAAGGCGAGGGATGTGACGCCCGAAGTAGCCTCGGCTCGCTTTCACGCAATTCAGACGGCCTACGAGGCGCTTCAAGATCCAGTGTATCGAGCTAAAGCTGCATCGATAGCGGAAGCAGAGCGCAAGAAAAATGAGAGGAGAGGCGCTTATGATGGCAACAGAAAGAGGATGGCTGAGGAGCTGGAGAGGGAAGAAAGAGAAGGCTTGAAGAAGAGAAGGGATGTCAAGGATCGCGAAGAAAGGTTGAGAAGGTTGAAGGAAGAAGGCAAGAGGCTGACAGAAGAGCTGCTCAGGAGCAATGCGTCATCCTCCACGCCTTCCACGCCGGACCCGAAAAATGCTGGTGGTGAGGCATCATCTGAGCAGGTGCTGGAAGAGCGAGAAGACGAAGATGGCGTGGAGCCTGCGTTAGGTGAGCGCTCAAGAGTAATACGGCAAAAGTTTGTCAGATGCATTTGAGGTTTGGCTGACGATGGGTTGCCCTTTTGTCCTCGCACAGGGCCACTCGACAAGACTGTGAAGCTACGTTTTCCCTCCCATCAACAATCTCTCCTCATGGGCTCGTCCGCCAGCGCAGCCTCGAGTGAACCCCTACGTACTCCTCTCGCCAGCGCGATGTCGCGTCGCTTCGGCAAGATCGAGGCAATTCGATTCCTGCCGCCAAAGGCTTCAAAGAGGCACCCGGAGAGGATACCTAATGAAGCGACAGCTCTCGTATCATTCGCGGGGTTGGAAGACGCCATGAAAGCTGTGGAGTTGGGTGGGCAGATGAATGCCGCGAATCGCAACGACGAGCAGACCAGGATACTGGAGGATGTTCACATTGGATGGGCTACAGCGGGTAAGGGGAATGATGGAGAGCCGCCAGCTGCTCGTTTCAGAAGGTCACAGCGTGCAAGGGAGCAGGCCGCTCCACCACGAGGCGCGAATGGCCAATATGCGCGCGGAGAGAGTCTTGTGAGTTTCATTCCGCGTGCCACGGAGACAACTAGGAGCCTCGTCATCTCCGCTAACGCAGCCTGCTTCCCGTACATCGCAGCCGCCTTCTGATGGCCCCAAACCTGAAGATGCAGCGACGTACGAAGCGAATACCCTGGCGAGGCTCATGAGCATGAGCTGAAATGGGACGCGCCAGATGCGTAAGCGCGCACAGGCACAGAAGATGCTCGCCGGCAGTAAATTGTCCAGACAAACGTGGATCTTGGAGCACGTCTATGGTTCAATGATGTCCGTTGTATTTGTACATTGTTGTTCAGTATAAGGCTTCTTGCACAGCATCCGTATCACCAGGCGATCTGGTCTCTGACATTAACTTATATCGTTGAGACCAACTTCAACAACTTGTTCCGGTCGGGTTTGATGCAAGTGTGAATCTTCGGTCGTGGGCATTTCAGCTGTGGCGTTATTGCCCGATGCTGAGGGACTTTTGGGTCTGCTTCTAGGCGCGACGTCGATTAGAAAGTCAAAAAGGTCCGAACGACGGATCGCAGCAGAAACGTCTGATCGGGTAATCGTTCTTCGCTTATGAGACGTCGCTTCCAGGTATGCTCGGCAGGTCAGATCGGATATGAAGACTGCGTAGCATGAAGAGCGGAAGGAGATTCTTCGTCAGCAGAGCGGCATCAGAAATTAAGTGCGACCAAATGACCCACCTTCACAAGCGCGGGCAAAGATGATGGGCGCTTCCGCAGAAATCATCTGTCGAGCATACAGGGCAATGAGGGGTCGTCAACGAGCGCTCAGGCAAGCACACTCATGTGTAGCCATGGCAGCGCAGACGGAGGATACGCCGCTGTGCAAGAAATCTGGCAGGAGCTAGGAAAGATGCTCACCTTGATCTCGTCATCCGCCTTCATCACTTTTTTGATCCTGGCCAGGGGTAGCTGACCCGGTCCTGGCTTGAATCCATCCGGATTGAAGGAGCAAGGTCCTGCTGCAATTCTATCCCCAGCAGAAGCCGGTAAAACTGGTGCACCCTCCATCTCGGCCCCTTCCTGAGGCAGTCTTTGCTGCAAGGCCAGGCTGCTGCTCTCCACCTCCACAGCCCTCATCTGTCTCTCCCAAAACCTCTCTTGCCAAATGTCCAAGTCTTCGTTCGTCTTGACCAATGGACCTCCCGACGCGTTGGTAGATGCGCACCAAGACCAGTAGGAAGAAGGATCGGCAGAGGTGGACAGCTTGCCACTTGATGTGCGAGGCTTTGGCTGACTTTGAGCCGCATGCGCAGGATTGGAAGGTCCAGCTGCAGCATGTGTATTAGAGCCTGGAATTGGACTGCTGTGAGGAGATGCTGTTGCTGCTGTAGTGGCACCAGAGGATGCGCCCGACTCCCCAGCTGTGTATGCAAGCTGTTGACCGCTACGCGCCCGCTTCTTGGAAGCCATAACGGTACTTCGCTGGAAGCTTGTTTAGTGCCAGAAGACGCAGCAGCAAGTGGGATTGGCGGAGATGAAGCTTGCAAGTGCTAAGGTCATGAATCGGAGCAAGGATGTGATGGTATGCTGACGCGCTGACCAAGATGTGCACCACCACAACTCATCACTCACGACTCTCGACAGCTGAAATCGTGAATCTCCTGGCGCGCGCCCGCGAGATCATCAGATATCCCGCGCGAGTGGAGCGGCCGTCATCGGCCGAAGACGGGCGATCAAGCCTTCTTGCTCTTGCAACAGCCAGCCACGATGCGCACTTGGCCTTTGCAGGTCCACAATCATAAATTGATGCTGCTGTTCAAATTGACATTTGTGATTATTCCTGTTTGGCTTTTGCAGCTTGAGCAGAAGCCAAGCAAGACATGGCAGCGCCACAGGACCACTGAACCTCGACATTTCAGCAGCAAGGTCATACCAGATGATGCAAGCTTGGGCCTAGGGATGCGCCAAGCAAGTTTGCAAAACAAGACCTGTCAGCAGGGTGAATCAGTAACAAGACAGAGTCGACCTGTGCAGGAAGCAACTTTGCTGCTGGCGCTCAAGAGTACTGTAAACTGGTGAGCCAGCAATGTGCGCAGTCTGAACAAATGGGTATGCCGACAACACTTGTCAGAGCGGCAAACGCATATGCAGACAACGCTGCTCAGCGCGACAAACGTGTATGCCGTCGGTGCGGTTCACCGCGACGAACGCGTATGCAGACGGCGCTGGTCACCGCGACGAACGCGTATGCAGACGGCGCTGGTCACCGCGACAAACGTGTATGCCGTCGGTGCGGGTCACCACGACGAACGCGTATGCAGACGGCGCTGCTCACCGCGACAAACGTGTATGCCGTCGGTGCGGGTCACCGCGACAAACGTGTATGCTGACGGCGCTGGTCACCGCAACAAACGTGTATGCAGACAAGGCGCGCGCGGGCGCGGATCCAGCTCGGCTTTTGGTGTTGAGGCGCCACGTGGGTCGTGTGCACTGCAGCCATCTGCGCGCGAACTCTTTCGCAGCTTGACACTCGTACCAGAGGATCCACACTCTGGTCAACGCCAGATGATAGCCACGCCTCTCACCTCACTACTACACTAGATTCTCCAACTCAAAAACTTTCGACGGTCAGCGCTGTGACTACACTTTATTCAACATGTCGTCGCAACTCGCCGGAAAGGACGCCGATGCGTCGGTCGCACCCAAGCTTCACTCTATCCGCATCACCCTCTCCTCCAAGAGCGTAGTGCCCCTCGAGAAGGGTGAGTAAGGAGATGTTCGGGCGTGCTTTATGCTCGGGATTTTTCCTGCCCTCAGGATAACAGGCATTGGGAAGGAATCGCAAGGAGGCAGCGAGGCGCTTCGATATTAGGTTGCGGAGGGTATCAGCCTTTGCGCGTCGGCAGCGTGGAGGAGCTGTGGAGATGCGACTGGATCTAAGTCGCCGCACTCAGAGGGTCAGCATAGCGTCCTGCTCAACAATGACGCCAACTGATGCCACTCTTTCTTCGTCTATGGCGCAGTCTGCAACGATCTCGTCACTCGTGCCAAGGACAAGCAGCTGCGCGTCAAGGGCCCTGTGCGCCTGCCCACCAAGGTCCTGACTCACACCACGCGCAAGTCGCCATGTGGTGAAGGATCCAAGACGTGGGACAGGTTCGAGCTGCGCATCCACAAGCGTCTCATCGACCTTCACTCTCCCTCCGAGATTGTCAAGCAGATCGTGAGTCGTCTCATTGCGGCTGGAAGATTCGAGGCGCACCCATCCTCCTCCCCCAATCCCCAGTCCAGTCGTCCTGCGCTGACACACGGCCCTTGAACGCTTTACCACGCAGACTTCGATCTCTCTTGAGCCTGGAGTTGAGGTTGAGGTCACTGTTGCTGCCTAAGTCAGGCCTCCTCACACAGGCGGTCAATTAGGCTGCTTCGATTCGATCATGTGTCCAAAGCTGCCTGAGCCTCTTGGTTTGAGCCACCATCACCAACGTCTCCATGGGCGCACTGTCATGCCGGGCTTTCTTTCAAACGCTTTGATTCGCGCATGTACCCCGAAAGCCGTGCTGTAATTCATGCAACACAAAGCCACCGTGACTTGCAGTCGTATCTCACTGCTCGCATTTCTGGGACACGTTTCGCATGCACGGCACACAAACGTTAACACCCGGACAAGAGTTGACTTAAAAGCATAAGTCGGTGTTTCGAAGAAAATTGTCCCGACCCCAGAGCGCGCAGTGCCACGCAAGCAATCCTCGACTTGAGGATTCAAGCAATCTGCACTCGTGATCGCCGAGCTTCTTGACTGCGAATGATCGCTTGTATATCGCCTGTACAGCATGCCCCGCGTTTCTTCCAAAGGTGTGTCTGCGGTGCTTGCACACGGGCGAAAGGATATTGCATGCACGGCTTTTTTGACCGATTTGGCGTGCGGCTGAACCACGTGGCGTGCCAGCTGCGAAGGATTCGCGCGCGCGACGTGTGCAAAAAGCTCGCCCGCAGCTTCAGTCCTATGCGGGTGCCTGAGCTTGAGGCGTCGAGGCTGCATTCACGCTGTCCACTTCTCCCATTAACCCCACCCCTCACCACAACCTTCCTGGGACCTCTCGTAAGCATCCGTGGCTCTCAGATTTGCATAGCTATCCAACGCTAATCCCCTGCCTTCCCTGCCCACGTATCTCTCTGTTGCTTCGCAGGACTATCAAGGTGCGAACGAAGAAGCTCGTCCACCCGACGCACACAAACTCAAAGGAAAGGGAGGGAATCATCATAGAATCAAGTCATCGTAACTAGGAGACAATATGGCTGACGCTGCACCTCGTGGACGTGGTGGATTTGGCCGTGATCGCGGTGGTCGCGGTGGACGTCGCGGACCCCGTCGTGGCGCTCGTCGCGGAGATGAGAAGGAGGAGTGGGGTGAGTAGTGCTTTCAGGATTTGGCAAACGCAGGCTAGCGTGGATGCTGCAGTAAAGGGATAGACGAATTACGTTGGTCAAGAAAGATGGACTAGACGGAGGGTGGAGCGTATACTCAGTAGTTGATGCGAAGGTCGAAGCTGGGAGAAGGAGCACAGGGCTGCGCCTCCAATGCTGCCTGCGCACCAAGCTCGCAATCACTTCAAGGACTGTCCTCTTGTGTTACAGCGCCGCGACGCATCACTAACGTCGCTCTTTCGACACGCGTTCGCAGTTCCCGTCACCTCCGTCGGTCGTCTCGTCAAGGATGGCAAGATCAAGTCCATCGAGGAAATTTACCTCTTCTCCTTGCCCATCAAAGAGTTCCAAGTAGTCGACTTGCTCTTGCCAAAGCTGAAGGATGAAGTGATGAAGATCAAGCCAGTCCAAAAGCAAACCCGTGCAGGTCAACGTACCCGCTTTAAGGCTTGCGTTGCTATCGGTGATGGAGATGGTCACTTGGGTCTTGGTGTCAAGTGCGCCAAGGAAGTAGCAACCGCTATCCGCACCGCCATCAACATTGCCAAGCTCAACGTCATTCCCATCCGCCGAGGCTACTGGGGTAACGCTCTTGGAGAACCTCACACTGTCCCTCTCAAGGTCTCTGGAAAGTGCGCTTCGGTCACCTGCAGAATTATTCCTGCACCTCGCGGTACCGGCATCGTCGCTGCTCCTGCGTCCAAGCGCTTGTTGCAGCTCGCTGGTATCGAAGACGCTTACACGCAAACTCGTGGACAAACCGGTGAGTACTTGGGCGAAAGGCTATTGGCTCAGAGCGGCGAGAGTAGAGGAAGTCGGTGGACCGGCACTTCGGCGCAGGCGTTACGCTGCATGTTTGCCTCGCGATCGGTTTACGTTCCCGTGCGGCACCTTCGCTGACCACGATACCCTTCATTGTTTGCACGCCTTTTAGCCACCACCGGCAACTTCGTCGGCGCAGCATACGAAGCTCTTTCCAAGACCTACGCTGTCCTCACCCCAGACCTCTGGAAGCTCATCGCTCCCCCGCCCACTCCATTTGTCGAGCACTCTGCACACCTCGCTCGCACCGCGCCCAAAAAGCTCTACTAAGCTAGCCAGCTTGTGCAGCCCCTTCGCCACATCACCGATATGCTTCGCCATCTGTACTCTCCCACCCAGCCATGTGTTGGCTTGACATGCAACTCATGAATCACTCGCTAAGTGCAACGTCGAGGGAGTGTCACATGCCGCTAGACGCCCACGCGCTTGATCTTAGCTTCTGTCGCGCACGTGGCAAAGTGCGCGCGCATGATGACGTGACTGTGGTACATATATCCGGTGGGTACACCGACCCATGACCGCAGAGTGACTCATCGGCTTCTGCTTTCTCTTCTTCATCGCAGTCATCGCAGACATCGTTGCCATCTAGTCATGCTTATGCATAGCTGTGCGGCATCTGGCCAGCGAGCGCGATAGGGAGCGCACACCGCTGTACTGCCACTCGCGACCTCCTCCGCCGCCACTCGCAACTTGACCCCTATCTTCAGCGACCGCCACCTGCTGCAACCGACGCGACGCCTTCACCACGCCACTGGCGTACGAATGAAGCTGCCACCATGGACTCTGAGCATCCCCCCATCGCAACTCGCGTCGAGGACATTATCAAGAATGCGTGAGTTGAGAAGAAGAGTGCTTTCACCTCGCGGCCGCGTAGTTCCTGACACGACCATTTCAGCAACTCTCACAAGCCAGCAGTTGTAGCGATCGCAAAAGCACTGCAGCGAGCCTTCAAACCGGTTCAAAAGAGAAAGCGCGACAAGAAGCCACCATCGTCGCCAGAGAAGAAGCCATCATTGTCGCCAGAGAAGCAGTCATCGTCGCTGGAGACGCAGTCATCGTCGCTAGAGACGCAATCATCGTCGCCAGAGAAGAAGAAGCCGCTGGTCCCTTACGAAGATAGCTCGAGTGCACTGTCCGACGTCACTACGGACAATGGAGATCTGAGCGAGATTGAAGCGCACGTCTCTTACGAAGATTCGAGTGCACTGTCTGACGTCGATACGGATGTTGGAGATCTATCGACGGATGGTGGAGATGGAGAGCTGAGCGAGTTCGAAGCCCGCAGTGAGTTGCTCTTCTCTTCCTACCATGCTTGGATTATTGTGCGCTTACGAAGATTCGAGTGCACTGTCCGACATCGATACAGATGATGGAGATCTATCGAGGGATGATGGACAGCTACCGAGGGATTATGGAGATGGAGATCTGAGCGACTTCGAACCCCGCATCAGTGAGTTGCTCTTCCCTACCATGCATGAATCGTTGTGCGCTTTCCGTTGCATCGTTGCGCGCTCTGGCTTGCACATCTAGCTTGCTGCACTCTTCTTTGAGCACGGATGTGCTTGTCGCGGGGGGGAAGCGGGTTGCTGTGGAGGTATGTTCACCTTCTGTCGGATGCGTTTGTTGAGGTGGTCACTGCCTCGCTAGCTGGCGTTTCTTTTGCGACGCCCCGTCGTTCTGACGGATTGAGGTGTGTGTCCTCCGTTTGCCGGTATCGGAGTTGCCCTGGGCGACGATGGACGAAAGCTGCGTGACCCTCCTGCTTATGGAGACTCTAGCTGCTCTTGAGAGTGTAGTGACGGTTGGGCAAGCCAGAGCAACAACGATGCGTGGTTAGCGTGCTGCTCGTGTTGATACGCTGTGAACTGGCTGACATAGTTTCAGCACAACACCAGGGCCAACGCTTCGACGAGGGCCTGCTCGCCAAGCCAAGCGCACGGTGCCATGGATCTTAGAGAGCAGCGGCGGCAGCAGCAGCGAAGGTCGAATAGGCAACGCGGACCATTCGGACGATGCGGACGATGCGGACGATTCGGACTCTGACTTCGAAATGAAGCTGTCCGCTCGCCGAGCCAAAAGAAAGGTGCCATCGGTCGTAGATAGCGACAGCAGCGACTACCAAGGAGGTGATGTGGACGATTCGGACTCCGGCCTCGAGGTCGTAATAGTAGAGCGGCCCAGGCGCACTGCCGCCAAACACACCTCGTCATCATCACCGATGCCCGTTCTTGCAACTGCTGCGTCGACCGCACCCCTCATCAGCTCTGTGCCCGTACCATCGTCGTCGTCACTTCACACCTCGTCATCAT